ATTATAAGTATAGATAATATAATAAGTGATAATCTATCATCATGAGGTCTATCCGACGATGCTTCCATTTTCAAAAACGGTAGTTCCTATCCGTAGATACGTGAAAGAGGAATCAAAAGTCTCCAGAAGCAACGTATATTCATGAAAGAAATTATGTAAATGGATAGAGTAAGAAATGTAGGTATCGATATCACTATGTAGAAATGACCTTTAGCACTCAAATCTCTCAGTTCTGCTTAACTCATAGCGAGCCAGCTTGAAGATTGAATTATTTATGAATTTTACAAAAAGAGAAAGGTATAATTTTTACTGTATTTTTATGTGTTTAACAATATTTATTACTATGGTGACATACGAACCGTTTGATGGTAAATGAGATTAGCGTAGCCTACGGACGCCTGTAAAACCAAAGATGTCACGCTCGCATTGTCCTAAACCTTAATACGCCATTTTTGAAAAACACTCAGCATAGTCCGATAGTGCGGGCAAGATTACTGTACCATTATCATGCATAAAAAAATATCTTGAGGGGATTCATACCATTAAAAATGACAAAAAAAATTTAGAAGAGATTTAATTTAATTTAATTACACATTGGATACGGAACCTTAATAAACATATTTACCTATCTATATTTTCTGTTGTGAATAAATTTAAAATCGAGGTCAAGTTTTTATTGCGATTTGCGATAAGAGAGATAAAGTAAAAAAGAGGAAAACAAAGATAAAAAAAAAATACTTAAAACAATAATACATAAGTAAACAAATGTATTAAATATTTCTCGAATAACATGTGTATGGAACTCAATATGCCCTATAATATGAGTATATAAGTACTTTTGCCTGATTATTTTGAGGTCTCACTTATCTGACACCAAGCTCTTGGTTTTTTTTCCACCATCTTCCCACTCTTACCCCAATTTTTTTTTATACAACTTAGAATGGCAAACAAGCTGACGGCCCACCTGATTGAAAGTGGTAACCGTCGCCTATAGACATGAGCAGTACCATGGACATAACAGAGTATACTGTTTCGCCCATGATACCCCCCACCCAGTAAATACCCAGTATGTACCCAGTAAATTCACGTCATATCCCACCCTTCAAACCGAAACACAGCCATGCAAACACAACTGCTTCACGGTTGAAACACGAATGGGACAGAGGTACCCAAGCAATCGACTTTTATTTGTGGTCAGCGTAATGTTTTTATCCATATTACAAAAAGAGTTGGCTTTTAGTTTTACGACCGGCCACCTGCCTCACGTCAACCCTCTTTAAAAATAATTTCACTTCCATCCCTTAAAAAAATCCACGGTGACTCATCTACATCCAGACAAGTAAAACGTAATCTAATTCGATAGATATACTTTTCCCCTTTAGATTATATAAATAGAGCATCGAGTCTCCAAAACAGGTCATATTTTTCTCAGTTAATTTGACAATTAGCTGACTTGTTTTTTTTTTTTTATTAGTGTTCTATATACTACGAACTTAATTTATCCTGACATATCTATATTTAATTATTTAATAAATAAAACCAGACTTTGTACAAAAGTCTATATTCGTAATCATAAAGCAGTTGTGTTTGCATGGCTGTGTTTTGGTATAAATATGGCGTGAATTCTAAGAGGAATAACACCTGAATCCTCATAAAAAAATAGTTTTTTATGTCTATGGTACATTAAAAAGATTTTTATCAGCAATTAATAGTTTTTATTAAAAAGATGCAAAATTTATAAGACAAAATAAACATAGAAGTCATAAAGGAATCATAACTATTTATCACGCAAAATTGTACGAAAAAGTTGTCCCGCTTTTCTTGGAGCATTTGTATGGAGACGCTCTGTCAATATAATCTATGGTTTTCTCATATGGACATTTATTTATATATTTATTATATATTTATTTGCAGATTAAAATTCTGTCTGTTGTAAAATAAATTATCTTTGAGACATAAAAGCTTTTTGTTCATGTACACCCGTAACGGGTAGAGTGTGTTGTAACACCATATTACCTACCTTTCAATCAGTATGCACAATATTTCATTCGTTCATTCAAAATATGATAACATTCTTAATTCAAATTGGTATACTGCTGTTATTGTTTTAAAATTCGTCCAAAATGAACAAACTAAGAGCATGGCCCATACAGCCTAGTCATAAGTTATCAAATTGGTGTTCTTAATTCAACGTGTTCGTCATTTATCGATGCGTTTCTTTCGTTTTTAAAAAGAATCATACGATTTCTGGGCAAAATTTTTAATGAATGAGTTTTCTCAAATCGTCGAATTTTGAACTGATCTTAATAATTATTTTTGTCATCGATATTCTCTGATTAATCATACAAATATTTGTTTTACAACTATAACCGTGGATTTTACTTACGGAGCAAAAAACTGTGTGTTATGTAACAAAATATATGTATATGTAAACATACTATTCAGCGTTCTAAATCCAAATGTTTTCATATGTTTTGTCACGATTGAAGTGTTTATTTTTTTAGAATTAAAATGTACTTTACGATATATCTCGTCATTTATCGATATTTAATTCATTTTAAAAAAAGAAAAATGAGATTACTAATCAAAATCTTATCACTTTTGAAGCCGTTATTTTTGCGGGGCGAAATCAATTTGTATCACTATCAATATATGTATGTTTTTAAAAAAAATCTATAACACATTTTTAATTTAAATGGTAAATTATCCTTTAATGTGGACCACAGATGTTTCTTTTTTAATTTATTAGGCTTTATAGTCCATAGATATATAAATTTTGGAATGCTGAGTTCCATAAAAAAAAACCTATCTATGCGTTTCGAATTTCACAGCTTAGCAATTGCGACACAGATGTTGGATAAGTTAGTGAAAGAAATTGATATGTTTTCTTTTTATAAAATTGTAATTCATTTCAAATGAAATTTATTACAATAATCAAATTAAATTTATACACAAATTTAACGATTCTAACCAAAATGCCAATGAATATGTCATAGTACAAACATATTTACATTCAATCGTGCATACATAATGTTTTATCGATTATGTAGTGACGATAATTTATTTATTTATGTGTAATGGCAGTACAATTACATATATTATTTGAGGCTACAGACAACTTTTAACTGGCATTTAAAAAGGTACGGCTCAAATAGAACAGAAGCATATTTATGACTAGCGATCCGACCCGGCTTCGCACGAGAAGACAGAATTTTCGAAAATCAATACATATATTAAAAAACAGTTTCAGCTAATACAACTGATCGGTTATTTTATAACATTTTATATGTGATTCTTTAGATTGATATATTTTGTTTATTTACAAACCGATTGAAATAAAACAATAAATGTTAAGTGGAGCAAACCACAACGCGTTAGTGAAAACCGCATTTAAAGCGGTTACTGAGATTAGCGAAACATACAGACAAACAGACGAAAATGCAGAAAATCATTGTTTTGGGTCCTATTGCGTTCATAAAGCCCCCTCCTATAATAGTTTTTCTTTTATATCTTTCATGTACAGACAGCGACCAGTTACGATTTTATTATATAAATTGATAACATTTATGTTAACTTCTTGCGAAGGTATTTCCCATTTTAAACTACAATAATAGAATAGTTAGATCAATAAAAGCTAAATGAATTGCGTGCGATAATTATTTTATTCACAAAACATAAGTTGGGATAAATAATATAATTATAATACTGTCACTACGTTTAATCACATAACATCGATGGAATGTCGCGATATTCTCTGAATTGAATTGAAATTTTTTGAGGACAGATGAGGAACCATACTAAGTTATTTAATCTTTAAACATATATAGAAACATATGTATCATAAAAATAAGAAATTCTCACATCTTTGTGGCTATGTTACGCGTTTACGAAGCAAAATTCTGAACCGATTTGGATAATTGTTTGTAATTAATACAATTTATTTACTCCTATGTTTATTTTATAATAATTTAACGATTAAAGTTGTCATTAATCTTTGCACAACAACTAATCATTAAGAACAGCTATTAGGGATCACCCGATTTCACGTTCTAAATTCAAAAATTCAAAATCGAACGTCTCTACCACAGAACAAATAATCACTACGTTATAATCTCTATGAATATAGACATTTGAGCTACGATGCACTTTTCTTTCCGCGGTGCATTTTATTAGTTTTAAAATAGATAATAAAAGTGAGATTAGATACTGTGACCTAATCGCAGTACAAATATCACTATCACACTAGGTAGTCTATTAATGTTGTCACGATTAAAGTTGCCGTTTCTTAAAGAGAAAAAATTAACTCGTTATTGAACATGGACGAAAAAATATTTAAATTAAGCATTTTTCGTCCATGGTTATTAAAGCGGACACCTACTGGTTGACAAAGTAAAGGAATTGTTAGAATAAAAAAAAATCTAGTGTAATGATTATTAATTTATTATATTTACAATATTATGGATTACTATATTGTGTCTATTATATTTTAAATTAAATACTATATTAAAAACAAAGGAAATAGGTAGGTGGATAGTAGTTACATTTGTAAAAGCGTTTTAATGTTTCGATTCGATTTATTATGTCAAGATCTATATTTTCGACCTCAAATTTCGATTTGCTATTTGTGAAAATAAACAGATCGGTTCGGAGTCGATCTCTCTGATACTATCGTATTAGACGCATTATTCTTTTTTTTTTTTTTTGAAGATGTTTGGCAATCCTGTTTTGGTTTCCACTTTTTAACTTGTTTATTTTTTATATTTACTTAATAAATCTTAATATATAAAAATGTCCATTCACGCTATTCTCCGAATCCGCTCAACCGATTTTAATAAAATTTTAATAAAGGTGTAGTTTACTCGAACTCGAGAGATAAGATAGTTTTTATCCCAATAAATAAATAAACCCAGTAAATAACATTAGGGGGCAAAACATGTTATATATATCGAAAATAGATCTATTAATTTATAAATAAAATATACAAAAACAAAAGATCTTACGCTCACGATCGATTTTTCGCTGTAGTTGTTTACTGAACAGTTTGTAAAAATAACAAATAACTACTATTCCTATAAATACAGCAATGTTGAACATAAATATTCGACGGCACTTCACCACAACACTAATTAATCACATCCATGTAAATATGCAAATAAAAAAATATATTATTTAAAAAAAATACAAAAGACCAACGTCTTCCCGCCAAACGTTTGACAACGACTGTCATTCCCAGTGATCAAAACAATATAGGTAAATCATTCAGTTTTAAAATTAGAGTTCACGTCGATTCAATCGTTCAGCGCTGTAAGCTGACTGTATTGTAAAATAAATAATCGTACTTCAACCTATAAAACCTTGCACAATATTTTTTTATTCGTTATAACATTACAAAAGGTTTAAGTTAATCAATTAAGTAATAAAAAGAAAGTAGAGTACACACATAACTATATAGAAAAATACACTGAAAGTCTGAAATATTTTTGTTTGGATCTGCCTATTGTGAATTTGTCCTTGCATCGAATTGGACCGTAAACAGCGTGGGCGCAAGATGCTAAATAAAGCGCTGTTTGATAAGTTGTTTGGGTTATCGTACGAATGATCCCTGTGAACTTGTTTTTTGATAAAATCTATATTATCACGCGTAAACTAAAATGGGAACACTCTTTAAATGTCAATATACCGAGTGAATGTAGCTCGTTGCTATGATGCAAACGGTTTAAAAACTTCTAGATAACACGCAGGTCTCAGGCAACACTCACGCGTCGCTTTTCTAATATCTAATATGTACACAACAGTGACGTAACAATAGGGTGGCAGGGCTGGCAAAATGCCACGGGCCCCCGACCCAAAAGGGCCCCGGCTCAAGAGGCCGCTAGCTCAGAATTTTTTTTTTTTTTTTACATTGTACCTAAGTATTTTATTTTACTTGAAAAGTATTTTTTTTTACTTAAAAGGCCCCATCAAAAGAATTTGCCACAGGGCCCAAATGGTATAAATATGAACATAAATTAAAAATATTAGAGTTGAACAATTTTCGCTTGACTTAAATCTTGATATAATTGAGATGAGACATAAGATTTAAGTCTGTCGATTGCAAAAAGAAATATTAAAATCGGTTCAGTATTGACGAAGGTAGATATAACGTAAAAGATAAATATAACCGTATTGTGAACTTTCCCTCATTTATAGTTAAAAAAGAAAGAAAAACCATAATTTGTTTAACAAGCAAATTTTACGGCCTTAATAGCACACCGCCTCCCCTTTCGGTGGTCGCGTGTTCGATTCCAGCACAATACCAAGATTTATCTTCATGAGCACACCTGTTTGTATTGGTCTACGTTTGCTACGCATAATATAATAATATAAAAACAAATGTATACAAGTATACCTGTTAATTTTCTAATACCCATTGTACGGGGGGCCCATTTTTTTTTTGATGAATGAAAATGGTATGGTAACCCCGTCTGCGCAAACGGGATACGCTGGCGGAGCACCAGTGAAGGGTGATAGATGAGAATGAAAACAGGCCAGTTAGCCCATCATGATGAATTCATCAGGAATTAACCATGATAGTTTCCAGGGAGAAACGCGAGGAGGTCGACCTGGTTGGGTATATGCAATGGGATTCTCAGTCACCAATACTAACAATCCCTTTCCCCCCACAGGAGGCCCATTGCTAGCAATACACCGGGCGACCTCCACATGGTTTCTCCTGGATACAATCGTGCTTAATTCTAGTGGAATTCGTCGCAATGAGCTAACTGAACTGCCTTTCCATCCTCATCAATCATCCCTCACGGGTGTCACTCCAGTGTATACCGATAGCGCGGGCAGGGTTACCATTTCATTATCATGCATTAAAAAATACCCATAGTACAAGGTGTACTTAATTTAAACATATTTAATCTTATGGTTTTTTCTTTTTTTCAATAGATTATAATGTAATGGTAACCCCGCTTGTGCTAACGGTATATGCTAGCAAGCCACTAGTGAGCGATGATAGGTGAGAATGAAAAAGCAAATCAGTCCATCGTAATAAACACACCTGGAATTCAACACGATGGTTTCCAGGACGGACCACGGGGAGATCGACCTGATAGGGTTTATTGCTAGCAATGGGACTGGTAGTCCACATTACTAACAACCCCCCCCCCCCCCCCCCCCCCCCCTATGGTTTAAGATTAAATAGCACTCTGTAAAATGTCCTGTGTTTGTTTCTTCAGAAAAAAAAAAACAATAGCAAGTTCAATATTGACAAAATTTATATAAAACGAACACAAGAGTAAAGTCTGACGATTGCATAAATTGTTATAAAGATACAGTGAGTGTAAAAAGTATTCGTACACCTAGGGTTATAATAAAAAAAATACGAATTTGATAGACTTTCCTCTATTTATTTAATTTAAATCAATACTGTTAAATAGTTTAACATTCCCGCACTTTGTTTATGATAATTTTTGTTTTTTAAAAAAAAAATTATATAACTTAAAAATATTTTTACGTTAACTAAGCAAATAATGACAAACAAAAAGTATTCGTACATTCATCCTCATCAATCATGTATACCGATTCTTTTTTAAATGAAATTCTGTATAAATCATTTATTCAATCGAATTTTTCATATGCCTACAATGCCAAGGTCATTTTTAATACGTAGGTATAGATATTAGACGTTTTAGTTGCACTCGTGACAAGTATAGACGTGTTTAGTTACAAAAATGGTCGTAAAGCAAAAGAAACGAGTGAAGAGGAGAGAAAAATAATTATTAATTTGCATAATCAATGCAAATCATTATGTGAAATTGCAAAATTTGTCAATAGACCACGTTCAACCGTACAGACTGTAATTGATCGGTTTTCTATTACTAAAACACTAAAAAACAAACCCAGAGGTGGAGCGTCCATCAAAAATCACGCCTCGATTGGATTGGAAAATTTTAAATTGTGTAAAAAAAAATCCAAAAATTAGTGCCGCTCGAGTGTTACAAGAAATTAATAATATCAATGATTGCCATATTTCTGTCAGTACCGTTCGGAACGTATTACGTAGTAACGATAATCATGGAAGAACTGCGCGTAAAAAGTATTGGGTAAATTATATTAATAGAAAAAAAAGATTAGAATTCGCAAAAAAATATATTAATGAAAAAAATCATTTTTGGCAAACTGTTATTTACTCAGATGAATCGAAACATTTTCAAATCGGATGGACATCATATGGTATGGAGAAAACCTAATATGGAATATAAGAAAGAAAATTTATGTCCAACGGTAAAACACGGTGGTGGGTCAGTATTTGTATGGGGTTGCATGAGTGCTTTTGGGGTGGGAAAACTTGCATTTATTGATGGAATTAGGGATCACAAAACGTATATTAATATTTTAAAAGAGAATCTTCTCTTTAGTGCAGCTCAAATGGGTTTTAACAATAATTGGATATTTTTACAAGATAATGACCATAAAGCATGGAATACTAAAGCATGGATCCTGTTCAACGCTCCCCCCCTCCTCAATCACCTGATATTAATATTATAGAGCATGTGTGGGATTATCTCGATAATAAAATAAATCGACCAATTTCGAGTAAAGAAACACTAAAAATTGCGCTTCGCGAAGAATGGGCATTGATACCGTCTTCTTATATTTTCAAACTAGTTGATTCGATGCCGCAGAGACTCCAAGCTATCATCAATGCTAACGGTGGTCCAACAAAGTATTAATATTTTTTTAATATTCATTTACTTACAAATTTTATAAGTGTACGAATACTTTTTGTTTGTCATTATTTGACGTAAAAATATTTTTATGTTGTATAATTTTTTTTATTAAAAAACAAAAATTATCATAAACAAGCGGGAATGTTAAAATATTTAATAGTATTGATTTAAATTAGATAAATAAAAGAAAGTCTATCAAATTCGTATTTTTTTTATTACAACCCTAGGTGTATATATATATATATATATATATATATATATATATATATATATATATATATATATATATATATATATATATATATATTTTTGGTATAACCTAATATCTATATTACCAGAGGAAGACTCTACAAAAGTCGTTTGCTTGGGCACCTCTGTCCCATTCGTGTTTCTACCGTGAAACACTTGTGTTTGTATGGCTGTGTTTCGGTTTGAAGAGTGGGATATGGCGTGAATTTACTGGGTACAGAGAAATAACACCTGAGTCCTCAGGAATGGCAACGCATGGCGGGTATCATAGGCGAAACAGTATACTCTGTTATGCCGATGATACTGCTCATGTCTATAGGCGACCGTTATCACTCTCCATCAGGTGGACGGCGTCAGATTGTTTGCCATTCGAAGTTGCATAAAAAAAAAAAAAAATTAATACATAATATTCGTAATGTATCGCCGTGTCGGTCCCGGCATAGACCACCCCTTCCTTTCCAGTGAGTATCGTAAAAGGCGACAAAGGGAAAACGAGAGATGGGTAGCAGTGTCTATCACAATTATTAGAGTAACGTAAAACTAAGAATCTACCTAAGAACATTTTTTTTTATACAACTTAGAATGGCAAACAAGCTGACGGCCCACCTGATGGAAAGTGGTAACCATCGCCTATAGACATGAGTAGTACCATGGACATAACAGAGTATACTGTTTCGCCCGAAAAAAGGAGGTTCTCGTTTCGTTTGTATTTTTTTTTTCATGCTTGTTACCTCATAACTCCGTCAGTTGTAAACCGATTTGGAAAACTCTTTTTATCTGAAAGGATATACTTATAAATTGATCGCATAGAAATTTTATCAAAATCGGTAAGAATTTAAGTTTAGTTTAGTAGTTCAGTTCAGTTTTTAGATCAGTATAACTGGTTGTGTCACAATTAAAATCGACTTTCCTTGTGGGTGGCAAAATTTTTATTTATTATTACTTTTTATTTGCACGTTCTAATAGAAAGAAAGAAAGAAAGAAATAATTTATTCAAAGAATCATGCGACTCACACAGTAGCATACAAAACAAGAACAAAATAAACAAAAAAAACAATAGTATAAAAATAAAAAGCGTTTACCGTTTTTTTTTTTTTTTGCTCAATTGAATAAAAAATAAATAAACAGTAAGACAACTCTTGAATTTAATATCGATAACAATCTAATCCATTGCCAATGACAATTCACTTTTTTTTTATTTCATTCACGAAACAACAGTTAGGTATTAGGTTAGAATTGGGATCAATATGCTATAGTTTGTATTTGCAAATTACACTAATATGTATCTGTTAAAATAATATGAAATTATTTAGCAGTGTATTAAGTAGAAATAATATATGTATTTATATAAAGTTTTATTATCGTTAATACACTACAGAAATGCGTTTTATTTGTAGGTACAATCTTAACGATGACAATAAAGTTTGTATAAATAAAACGTATTTCTTGCACCTCCCTAAGGGAAGATCTTGAGGCATTTTGTATTTCATTATATGCACCTATTAGTGTATACTTGTATATAATTATAATTATTATAATTTTTTTTAACGAATATGTCTATACAAACGTGTTGAAACTTCGAAACAAAAATTTAAAAAAAAAAATGTCACCCGTTTTCTCGTTTGGGAGATGGAATTTTCAAAAACTTTTAAATGCATTTTTATTAGTTCAATCAAGACATTCAAATAGTTATAATACAAATAGTAATAATTCATAAGAACTAATAATTTTCCACTCCATTTTTCCCGTTTGGAGTTAAATTTCCGAAAACGACGTATTATGTATGTATTTAGAAACTTTAATGACGAATTTCCCATGTTAACTTTCAACCCTTATTTCACTCTTTTAGGCTATATATTTTCAGAAACACTGAAACTTGTACTTATTTATCCAGAAACCTGTACATAAAATTTTATGATTCTAATTTTGAAAATATCGGATTTCTATACAACCACATTCATGTTCACACACTTGAACCTAAATTGTCGCAAACAATGCGGTTTCAAAGAAATTTCCTTTCGTGAACGCTTAGGTTGCGGAATGGACCCCCTGCCGAAGTTTCCCCAGAGACTACAGTATAGAGTTCTTCAAAAAGGTTATATTGAACATTCTTCAGTGTCAACAATGCGCGTGTAACGACCATAGTATTGCAGGCGCCCATAGGTTACAGTGACCGTTTATCTTCAAACGGTCTGTATGCTTGTTTGGCACCTTTTTGGTATAAAAAAAAACATTCATTCCTTATTTCACCTCTTAGTTTAGCTCTCTAGAGTTTACATCGTAAAATGCATCAACCATCAAAATTTAAAATTTTTAACCACTGTGTTTAAAGTGCCCTATGAGTAAAATTAGTCCCTAACAAATAGAAAATCTATTAAATGATAGAGATCCAGAAATAAAAAAGTTTTACTCAAAAAAATCATCTGATTTGGTAGAGCTGTAAAAATAATAAACATTGATCATAATGTACTCGTAGAAACTAAGTTACAAATAACTAAAAAAATAAGTAAAACTTTGAGTATTTTGTCATATACTAAAATAATTATTCTACTACCTGTTAATTGCAGAATAAAAAACTAAAGTCTATCCTCTAAGGAGGACCCTTATTAAATATTATACTAAAACTAGCTGACTCGGCAAACATTGTTTAATCATATACAATATTTCGAGAACTATGCGTGATAATTTCCCGTACTACAATTAATATATTCTATTGCCATCTTGCAACCCTATTGCGGCATATAAAAATCACGATGATTAAACAGGGGTTGATCGTAAAAGGTGAAAATTTGAATTTGCATGTATTTTTAAATGCTTAATCATAACAAAATAAAAATATTTTTTTTTGTCAAAAAAATAAAAATTAATATTTAGGGGTGGGTCACCCTTATGATTGAGGGGTATGAAAAATAGATGTTGGCCGATTCCCAGACCTACTCGATATGCATACAAAATTTCATAAAAATCAGTAAAGTAGTTTCGGAGGAGTTTGGTAACAAACACCGCGACATGAGAATTTTATATATTAGATATGATATGAGGTTTTTATTTATAGAACTTTGGTAGCAAATAAGTATACGGCTTATCTGATGGTAAACAGGGTTGCTATTAAGTCTGTTTTTAAATATTTTTACTATTTATTGTAAGAAATATCAGTTTATGCTTAAAATTTTAACGAAACTTTAATTCCTAATATACTTTTATTTCATTTCATAAAATGTTCTCATATAATTTATTACATTTTAGTGCATAAGTGGAGCACCAAACTCCCCCACTGGAATTGATGCGTAACTTAAAAAAGCATTCTTAATACTTAATGACCATTACGAGAAAAATCATATTGATTAAACAAATTTATCAAAACTGGTTCAGAGTTTACATAATCGTGGAAAAAATACTAACATTAGGGGCATGGAATTAATACATTGTATAATGGAATTCGTGATGAAAACTTGTCATTAATATACAAGTTTTAAAAAAGTAGAATTTTTATTTTAGTAATGTCAACATTTATCGTATACGCTTCCAAGTTCGCAAACCAAAATTCCAAAATAAAAAAATATGAATTGTCTCATTGAAAGTTGACATAAATGAATTGTCATACTGGCATTGACGCGCACGCACGTCAAATCACGTCATTATTATTCAGAAATCGAATTAAAAAAAGTAAAGTGAAGTGATAATTGTTACGTGCAAACGTAGATAATTTTCAAGATATTATATTATTTTCCATAAAGTAAACTCGAAAATATAATATAATTACGTATACTTTGAATGTATTATTCTGCATAGATATAATTTGACGTAGACGAGATGATTATAGAAAATCCAGACGCTTTTAAATCGTGGTTGACTTCCATATTGGAACCCCTGTGAGTATAAGCAGCCATTTTAATTTACTACTATTTACGTTTTCTTTAACACTTTACATCGAAATAATAAATATATATTTATGATGTAATAAATTATCTTATATTCTGTATAAAATATAGATCTCCAAATAAATGTTGATTGGTTTCGCGTTCTATTTTTGCATAATCTGTCATGCTGTACTCGAATTTCACATGTTGACTAGTTTTCATTAATAATCGTGTATGATTGGTCTATATTCTTATTAAAATATTAGGCTATATATGCATTTACATAATGATATACCTTTAATGAAATAAGTTTAATTATAGATCTTTGCCGAGCACAAAAATAGATTAAGTTTCATCAATGATAGGTATATTTTTATTAAGTTATTACATTTCAGTTTATTCAGATACGATTGTAAATTGTCCTTCTGTCAAACATTCTTATTATAATACTATTATACCACTGTGGTTGCCAAATATCCAGTAATGTGCTCATTTTTAAAAAAATATGTGTTTTCAATGAAGTTCAATTGCTTTTATCCATTTGGTATACTTATGTGAAGCTCCTTATTTGGAAAGCAGAGTGAATCATGTGTCATAGACCTCAACTGTATATTATGTTCTTGCTTTACCCACTTTCTTACTCATCTTATCCATGTACACAATTTAGGAGACTGTCCTTTCCTCTGACAGCCTATCATCTTTCTAACACCTTTGATTTAATATCATTTAACAGTGCTCTAATTATTTAGTAAAAAACTATGGCATACTTTTAAAAATAGGTTTTATGTTAGTTGAATATTGTATATTATTATGTTTTGTATGTCATAATCTGAATATATCACATACACCACATGAGATTAAAAGTAAATTTTGAAATGTATTAACTTTTTTACACAATGGCAACATCATGAATACACTATCATTCCAGCGTGTACCGATAGTGCAAGCGGGGGTTACCATTCCATTTTCACCCATTAAAAAAAATACAATGTCATAAAAACTGTCCATTAAACTAGATTTCCAATAAAAAAAAAAATAACTACTGAAATCTATATATGAGATTATAATTCCACAAAAAGGAAACAAGGATTTAACTTATAAAACCCTGTTCTTGTGTTAGGTAATAATTAGACTTTGGATTGTATGCACTATCATAATACCAAAATATGCACTAAAAAGGGTGAAGTATGCACAAAACATATACAAAATCATCCTTGTGCCAAAACCACAATGTAACAATCAAAATGCTATTTCTTAAAAGAATTTATGTTTCTATTTAGAATAAAAAATAATAATAAATAAATATTGTAATCAAATCAATCAGTTGTTGTAAGTGTTAAATATTTTTCTAGAAGAAACTTGTGTCGTTTGTCACGTAATATTAATTTATAGACTGAAAATTATCTATGACAAAGTCATTTGACATTAGAGAACAGTAATTGAAATTTGGCACCATTTTGCAGAAACCTCTTTAAGTAGGGTTTGGCCAGTGCCATTGCTACATGTTTTGACCTTCTTAATTCCTTTGAACCCTGGCAATACACCTTACAAATTTAACTACTGAATTAAGCACTATTGATGGAAAAGTATGAAAATATGCAATATCACTATGACAGTGTGTTTTATACATATGCAAATATGCAAATGCATATAATCAATCAATGCATGATCCAATATTTATCAAATTTTATTTAAATCATTTGGCTGTTTATTTGATTCAATTATATATAAAGACTATCTATCTAAGGATATATATATATATATATATATATATATATATATATATATATATATATATATATATATAACCTTAGATAGTCTTTATTACCAACAATAATAATTAAAAAAACAACAATAAAAAAGAATGAAAAGAGATGGGTTATTACAGGTCTAGAATTGTTATCTAAACTTCTAAAGGAATCTAGAATCTTTATTGGGATCCCCTTTGATATGGAAAAGAATATGTTATAGGCATTGGTATTATAGATATCTGTCCAATATATTGTGTTTCTCTGAATGTTAATTCTGAAAAACAGATTTTCATAATAGGTGATAATAGAATAGTAACCCCACCTGCGCTAACAGTATATGCTGGTGGAGTATGATACCAGTGAGAGTTGATATGTTTGGATGAAGTCAAATCAGTGAATTCATCTAAAATGAAATAGAATGTTTTCTAGGTGGACCGTGAGTAGGATGCCTGACAGCTTGCTATCAATAGGTTACTAGTCCCCGTTACTCACATTGCCTTATTTTCCCTTGGGAAAAAGGTCATCACGCACTTTGATATTGCCCATACATGTCATACATACAATTTCGATTCAGTTCTTAATTTCGACATATATTGGATTACTGATATTTGAGGTAATATATAGATATTGTAACTATATACTAACATGTTGTGTAATATCACTTTTGCAATGAGTTCCTAACTTAAGTCTGCTGTTTTCTTTAAACTGATAAAGTTTTTTACATAATAAATAACTAAAAAAAAAGATTCATTTGCATAATTACTGATAAATTACAAAATATGCGTTATTAGGTTATGATTTAATAACATTGTGATAAAAACTTTGTTTACCATTTATTAAGTAACATTAGACTGTTGCCTTTGCCTCCAGGGTTTTTATGTAATGAAAATTAAATGGCAAATATATCTACACTATTAGTATTTTATGAAGTAGGTCAATTGATCCTTCCTGATGAATATATCAGGAATTAAACACAATAATTTTAAGGGGAGAGAGTATTGAGTTGGACCTCGTAGGATATATAAGTTGTGATGAGGTTGCTGGTCCTCATTTCTATTAATTCCTTTTCCCCCTGCCAAGCGTTTTTCTAATGAATGATAATGGAACGGTAACTCGCGCCCGTGCTTACGGTATACGCTAACGGGGTACCAGTAAGGGATGACAGGTGAGAATGAAAAGACAGGTCAGTTAGTGAATAGATGAATGCACCTTGAATTCAGCACGATGGTTTCTAAGGGGGACCGTGTGAACGTCGACCTTACAGAGTATATTACTAGCAATGGGACTAGTAGTCCACATTACTAACAATCCCTTCACTATTGAAGGGTAGTCTCCCATAATACACAAAATGGTCATGGCTTTGATATCCTGCCATTAAAAATATCTGTGATTGCTTGTTATCAAGTGGACCGTATGCCTGATTGCTACACTTGTATAGAACAAAACCACCGATTATAAAAAGAACAACTCCAAGTTGTTTCTTGAAGCCTCATTCTACTGTTTCACTTTCCATTCCTTATATATTAATAGTAATTGACCTCCCTTAACATTTAAAAATAAATAATACCAAAGGAGACTGAGCTTCTATTTTCGTTCGCAGATGTTCCAATCTGCTCGCATAAATTACGATGCGACTAATTTTAACACAGAATCGATAAAGCAATTGATGTATAATGTTTGATTTTCCTGTCATAGGTTTTTTTTAATGGATAATAATTGAACAGTATCCCCATCTGCATTAACGATATATGCTGGCGGGGCATCAGTGAGAGATGATAGGTGAGAATGAAAAAGCAAGTCAGTTAGCCCATTGTGATGAATACATCTGGAGTTCAGCACGATGGTTTCCAGATGGAACCACATGGAGGTCGACCTAATAGGGTATATTGCTAGCAATGGTACTGGTAAAGGGATTGTTAGTAATGCAGGCTGCATTACTAACAATCCCTTTCATCCCCTCTCTCATTGGGGTAGGTACCTCTTACTGGTATAAATATGTATCTTGTAACTGATTACAAGTTCATAAAAAAACATGTTTTGTCCAAAAGGGCAAAGTTAAACACTGAGTTGTGCCTTTTTTGTGGTTACAACATACACAAGTATATTTATTCCATTGTTGTGAAAACTATGATTTTTGTTGTAAGAAAGGGAGACTTTGTACAAAAGTCGTTTGCTTGGGTACCACTGTCCCATTCGTGTTTCGACCGTGAAGCAGTTGTGTTTGCATGGCTGTGTTTCGGTTTGAAGGGTGGGATATGGCGTGAAGTTACTGGGTACAGAGGAATAGCACCTGAACCCTCAGGAATGGCAACGCATGGAGGGTATCATGGGTGAAACAGTATACTCTGTTATGTCCATGGTACCGCTCTTGTCTATAGGCGATTGTTACCACTTTTCATCAGGTGAGCCGTCAGCTTGTTTGCCATTCTAAGTTGCATAAAAAAAAATTAAATAGCAGCCAATATTCTTCTCTATATCAAATGGTATGTGCATGCCACATTTCGTCTTAATTGATTGTACCGTTAAGGAGCCAAACGGTAATAAACACTTTCACATTTATTGTATTCAGTATTTAATTGATTTTAAATACTTAATACTAAAAGTTTAATTATATAAAAATAACTTAATTATATATTATTATTTTTAGATTTTTAAACTTTTTGGAAAAAGCAACGGCTGAATTTCTTGTCTGTTCTTCTTGGCTGAAATTGAATTCCGAATTGCTGGTAATAAAAAAATGACATTAAAAAATGCTTGAATCTATTAAAGTGCTTAAATTTATTTGAATTAGTAAATTTCTTTCTTTTTTCTATATAGCTTTACTACTTACAAAAAAGTACTAAATAACTTTAATAATATGATGTACTAGCGGCCCGTCCCGGCGTCGCACGGTTGGACATTTTTAACATTTCCCTTCACTGCTCTGCTCCTATTGATCGTAGCGTGATGAAAAGTATACTATAACCTGCCCAGGAGTATGAAGAATAATTGTACCAAGTTTCGTTAAAATCCGTCGAGTAGTTTTTGTTTCTATAACGAACATACAGACAGACTGACAAAAATTTTACTGATTGCATTTTTGGCATCAGTATCGATCACTAATCACCGCCTGATAGTTATTTTGGAAATATATTTCATGTACAGAATTGACCTCTCTACAGATTTATTATAAACATAGATTATGACAATCAGACTATGTAAAATTCTGTATTAGTATTTTTTGAAATTAAATTGTTCAGACAGACAAATAAATAACCATGGGATTTTGCATTATACCACACTACTCTTGACTTATTATAATAAAAATATTGCAATTTTGACACTAAGCCACAGATTACTTAACAGTTACAACTCATTATGTACAGATAAGCTATGAACGTACGTAACACTAGTAAACAAGGAATGAAAACGTTAGGTAATAAATACATCCTTTATCGACGCCGCTCGATAAGATATGTATAAATTGTTTTAAAAACATTACACTACTCACTATGTATGTATAATTGCATGATAGTGATTTATTTCTAAAGAATATTATTAATCAAAAATATAACCAAGGAAAATTCCAAATAAAAGTGATTCACATGTATATGTATTAAAGGATATACTTACATCCCAAAGAACGTTTAACAAAATGAGTAGTTCAGTTTTAAAATAAAAATGACTGGTTTTGTCACAATTGAATTCTTTTTTATTTTATTTTTTGGAACACAATTTAAATTTATGAATATAATCTATTATCTAAAAATATATGCCACTTTTTTATTGTCTGTAATGATTTAAAAAATTACAGATAGCTACATTCAGCTAATAACATGGGCTATACTTTATTTTCAAAACCATACGAAGCCGGGGCGAGTCGCTAGTAGTTAAATAAAGATTATCCTACTTTATCCGTGTTACAGATGTGATGCGGACCCGGCGGCACTCGCCAAGTATGTGTACGCGCTCGTGAAAAAGGACAAGCCTCTAGACGAGCTGCGCGACGGCATGCTCGACCAGCTCGACGTGTTCCTGCAGCATGGTGAGTTATATTATTCTTAAAAGTTATGTTCATTTTTTAACCATGACTGTATATAATATACCGTTCAATCCTGAACATATCCTGTCTCTTTAGAAGGTATTGCCAATAGTTGCAATGCTTGGCATGTGGGTTGGCAATCGAAGGTAAATTTTGATGATATTTTAAGAGGAAAGCTCGCGCCTATCGCTCGACCATAAAATTAAGGGAAGGGGTGCCCTAATCTGGGACCACACAGCTATATATATAGACATGATGAGTCAATACTAAAAAAAAACCAGTTGTGTGTTGGATCACAGTGATGGATGAAGATAGGTGAGGATGTAAGCAGGGTATTTTTTTTTTAATGGAATGGTAACCCCACCCGCGCTATCGGTATACACCGGCATGGCACCAGTGAGAGATGATAGGTGAGGATGAAGTAGGTCAGTTAGCCCATCGTGACAAATTCAACAAAAATTGTTCACGGTGGTTTCCAGGGGGAACCACGTGTGGTGGTCGACCAGATAGGGCATATTGCTAGCAATGTCAAACTCCATTGCTAACAATCCTTCCCCCCCCTGTGTGCTAGGGTTATAAGAGATCACATTGTGTATGGTGATCTGAAAATAATATAACTTACAATTGTGAACAGAAACGAAACCGTTCGTGGATATGTTGTTCAAATCGCTGGACAGCCACGAGTACCTGAAACCAGTGGAGAAGCGCCCCTCGCCGCCGCCCGCCGCGCCCGATCCCGACACGGAGGCCGACACTGAGAATCATCGTGAGTACATTCATTATTGGCTATATATCTGCGCTACCATGAAATGAAATTCTTTCGTCAGTTTCGTGTTTTTGTTTATACTAAAATCGAATAAATGGAATTTAACATTTCGGTTCGTCATACATCCTATCATAAAAGTCTGTTTTATTTTTATTATTTCCAAACGGCTGTGTACATCAAATTTGTGTTTCGTTTGGCTCCGAAATTTCGGAAAACATTTCATGGTAATAAACTATCCTGTGTACAAAATTTGATTAAAGTATATAATCCTGTGTAAAAAGTTTAAAATAGCTCTAAAAAAATATTTAATTCCAAAAAGTTATTTTACACTACAGGAATTTTTTAATGAGAAAATTTAATTATATTTACCTATTTGTTTCAATGTAATAATGTTTTATTTATTTTATGTTAATCGGCGATACATATATATAATGTAAAAATTTAGTTATGTACTTTATGAAATATTTATTAATGTGATTGCTGTCCCCTTCCAGGGTTCATGTTGATTCTTTACTTTTAATAACTTAAGACCTATATTGTTACAACATGAAATAGCAATATTTTAACAAAACTTTTTTTGCAGCCCCAAATGGTACGACGGAGGAGAACAATGCGAACCCGTCGCTGAACGCGGGCAGGCCCCCCCGGCACCGCATGGTGGTGACCCGCATGGCGGCAGTACCGCCCGCGACCGCCGCCGTCACCGCCACCGCCAACAACAACAACAACTCTAACACCAACTCCGCCCCCGCCCCCGCACACTTTGGCGCCGCCACCCGCCCGCCACATCATGAACAAACTCTAGTCAAGGTATCCACAGCCTTCTTTATGTATACATTAATATCATTTTGTGCCTAACATACTAACATGGCGTGTCCGATGGAAAGAGACTACCATTACTAACAATTCCTTTTCAATACAAACAATAAGAGATTCCCCCTAGAAACCGTTGTGATTAATTATTGTTTAATTTTAACAATGGGCTAACTGCCCTGCTTACGTGAGCTAACTGGCTTATTTTTTCATTCTCACCTATTATACCTCAATAGTACCCCACCAGCGTATACCGATAACGCACATAGTGTGGGGGAAAAGGATTGTTAGTAATAGGGTCTAATTAACCCATTTCTAGCAATATAGCCAATCAGGTCGACCTCCACGCGGTTCCCCTGGAAACCATCGTGGTTAATTCTAGTGGAATTCGTCACGATGGGCTAATTGACCTGCCTTTTCATCCTCACTTGTCATCGCTCACTGGTGCCCCGCCAGTAATACACTGGCGGGGCACCAGTGAGCGATGATATCGATGGCGGGGTTACCATTCCATTATCACTCATTAACGCAGATAGGGTTACCATTCCTTTATCATCCAATAAAAAAACCCTGCTCACAGCCTCACCTATCTTCATCCATCACTGTTATCCAACATATGTGTCTTTCATTGGTGTTTACATATTTCATAATTTTAATTACAGGTATTGCCATTGACCGAGCTACTAAAAGAGCCAGTCGATCAACCGCCGAGGAGACGAGATAGACGTGGGGATTCTGTAAGTACGCTTTCATAAAAAATGCTTACTACTATTGTCTTACTAATATATGTCAATGTTCTTAATTTAAATTGCTGAGTATTGTCACCGGTTTCCTGCATATATTTATTAATGAACCGCTTGTCCTCAGCTGCGTGAAGGAGAGGGCAGAAGGCGGCGGCGCTCCGTGTCGTGGGAGAGGAGGCGCGCGCGGAGACACGACGAGCGACACGACCACGTGCGCAGGTACGGACTTGGGGACTAGCGGCCCCACCCTAGCACGTCCACTTCCACGTGGTTATCCTTGAAAACCGTCGTAGTTAATTCCTAGTGAATTTATCATAACTGGGGGAAAAGGTATTGTTAATAATGTGAACTGTCAGTCCCATTGCTAGCAATATACCGTATCAGGTCGACCTCCACGTGGTTCCCCCTGGAACTCGTGCTGAATTCAAGGTGTATTCATCACGATGGACTAACTGACCTGCCCTTTTATTTCACTTATCATCCCTCACTGGTGCCCCGCCAACATATACTTTTTCGTCTTGTATCTTGGACGAAATTCACTGCCTTATCCCACCCTTCAAACCGAAAGACGTAGAAACACGAATGGGACAGAGGTACCCAAGCAAATGACTTGTATAAAGCCTCCTTCTGGTAAATACATATCGAATTAAGTGCGTCACGATGTGTATCATTGTTGCGTTGGTTGCAGACGTCCGTCGCGGTCTCCGTCGCCGCGCGGCCGCTACCGCAACCGCAGCCCGCCCGCCGCCGCCGACCGCGCCGACCGCGTCGACAGGCTCTCCCGTTCCAGGTCCGTGCACAACATATTTATTTATTTAAACTTTAATGCACAGTAAAATTCTATGTACATATGGCGGACTTAACACCGGATGGTAGGGGGGAAAGGGATTTACAGTTTTCATTTTATCATTCCTTCCATGTAATTCATTGTTTTTTTGGTTAACTCCAAACTACATACATGCACATTGTCACGCACACAGATACGTTATTTGTATCTATATTTGTAACAATCACGGATCATAGCAATTTTATGAGTGGTCCAAGGCAGGATTTAAGTTTTGTTTATAGTAACTCCATAATATTTTGGTCCATTTTTAAGTGTTTGCTATGGCAACACTTTTATTTTAGGCTAACTTAAGTTGGAGAACGGTCATAGAGAAATAAGAATTAAATAAAAAATACTCAGTTGTTCAATTATCAGTTGTTATAGTCACAGATGTATCGTATTCTCTTTAAACTGTGGGTAGATACAATTTGTTTTATGATTTATAAACTTGTAAATTTATAAAGACCGATAGATATTTGAAGTTTTTTTAAATGACAGTACTTACGACCTGAGGGCCTACCATGAAATGTTTTCCGAAATTTCGGAGCCAAACGAAACAGAAATTTGATGTTAAAATTAAATAATACATGCCGTTTGGAAATATTAAAAATATTAAAATATTGTTCCTTTGGATTTTTATGATAGGATGTATGATGAAAGAAATCTTAAACTCCATTTATTGGTCCGATTTTGGTATAAACAAAAACACGAAATTGAGTCCGAAATTTCGGAATTTCACTTCATGGTAGACCCGCAGATCGCTGTTTAGTTGTAGTTCGTGGTGATTGTTCTGTTGTGTTGGTGTACACACTTGCTTGCAGGTAATTTACGAAGCTTACCTGCGTTTTCGTATTAATTGTTTCGCTATTAGTGAACTACGTACGTTAATACATACTCATTCAACATATATATGTAGTATGTATCACTTTGGCAATACGGGTATACAATGAGTTACCTTCAGAAATAAAGGATCTTCCAATAGAGAGATTTAAATCAAAGTTATTTCACATTCTCTTAGAAAAATGCTATTATACAGTTATTGGATATTTAAATGACAAAAAATGTAATAAAAGATGTAATGTATTAAAAATTACTTAAAATATAAACCATAATTTTATATGATAATTTGACATAAAGAATATTGTAACTTGGAAAATGTTTGGACTTTATAATTGTAATATAATGTAGACTAAATACAGTTTAACATTAGCATACCTCTGCGGGGTGCTGCATGTTATGTGCCTGTATATGTAACTTTTTATTGTACCGTGTAGCAAGCGTATAAATATGATTTGATTTCTTTATTATTAGTAAATTGCAAACATGCAAATATGGAACGGTTAGTTGCTTTTGTGTATCATATCGTGGGCAAAAGCTAGTATTACATACTTCTAGACATATAATTAATTATACTATGCCAATTAATTGTGTTATATAATAAACAAATATACCAAAGATATATTTATTCCATCGTACAGATCAAAATCACCAATAAGAAGTCGGGACCACGATCGTGACCGCGACCGGCTGCGGGTGATGCGCGAGATGGAGCGCGACAGGGTGTCGCGCGACCGCGACCACCGCGACCGATTGTCGCGCGACCGCGACCGCGACAGGTGAGTCGCCGCCCCGCCCGCGCCGTGTGAACGGGGCCTTACATCCACGCCGATAACTCGTCGGTCGCTAGACTCGTCTGTACAAAGTATAAAGAACGAAGTGTCTCACAAAAAAACGAATTTTAATCGTGGTTTTTTTTTTTTTTTTTATTTTATTTAAAAACTAAACTATGAATCGATTTTGGCATAATTTCTATGGGACCAATCTGTATATCTATATCCTTTGAAATAAAAAAGAATTTTCAAATCAAATCGGTTTAGAACTGACAGAGTTATGAGATAATAAATTTAAAAACAAAACAACCAAATTGAAATTTTCTTTTTTTTGAAGTCGCTTGAAAATTGAATTATTCATGTTGTTAATAGAGTATTCTAACAGTAAATTTGAACAAGAATTTCAAAGGGACGTTCAAGTGTTACTTAACGCATATATTGGTGGTGTTGGCATAGTACAAGTGTTGAATATTGTTAACATAAACGTCCACTTCCACCGTCAGGTCCCGTGAGCGTTCCCGCGAGAGGTCTCGTGGGTCGCCATCGCCGCGACCCGAGCCGCGGCCCGACCTCATCGACCCCTACAAGCGGAGGTGTAGAGATTTCGACGGTCAGTATTCATGAATTAGCATACTTTGTCTAGAGATCTCTATAGCCCTAGTTAGGGCTGGGAGTGGAGGAATTTTTTTAATGGATGAAAATGGAATGGTAATCCCGCCTGCGCTATCAGTATACGCTGGCGAGGCACCAGAGATGGATGATAGGTGAGGATGTAGTAGGTCAGTTGGACCATTGTGACAAATTGCACAAGAATTAACCACAATAGTTTCCAGGGAGAACCGCGTGTAAATCAACATGATAGGTTATATAGCTAGTAATGGAACTTTTAGACTCCATTACTAATAATTTCTTTCCTCTCAGAAGTATTTTTAATGGCTGAAAAAGGATTGATGGTAAAACCACCTGCGCTTTATTTATTAAAAAATAAATTTGCCACAATAATTTCCAGCAGGAACGGTCTGAAGGTCTATCTGTTAGCGTACATTTGTAGTAATGGGTCTGATAGATTACATTATTGAGGATCAGATGTTACAAAGAGAACTTCAAAATATATTGTAAATCTCATGGTACCCCTTTTGCATTGACTTTCTATGGACTAAAATGTTGTGGCGAAACATAACAACGCAAGTACAGTTTTTTTCACGGTAGAAAACACGTGGGACAGGTATCCATTCTGACAACTCTTGTACCATCTCTTTCTAATCTTTCTTCTCAAATAGCGAGGACATGATGCCTGAACAAATGTAGCTGCAAATATAAAAAAATGTCTCTAGTAAACTCGTACTAACCGACTTCATTTATTCGTGAAACAGAGAAAGGATACTGCATGCGGGGTGATCTGTGCCAGTGGGACCACGGGAGCGACCCTGTAGTACTGCAGGACGTGCTCGCCGCCCCCCCACCAGTGCCAGGTATGTAACGATATAACACGTTTTGTATTTTTAATTATTATTCATAAATTCATATTAAAGTTTCGAGTTGTTTACACATGTTTAAATACACGATAGAGACTTAGCGGGATGAAAAATTTTGCAGGTAAATATTACCTACATACCTGCTTTATTGCCGCCGCTTGTTTTTTTAATTTGTCATCGCGTTAAATCCTGGTAGTACGCCGAAGAAACGGCTGCTCACATAATCCTGGAATGTGAAGCTTTAGCCCATCAACGTTTAGAAATCCTCGGAACGGTAAGGTCGCTCCGTGAGGCCTGTGAAGAACTCAGGAAGCTTCTGCGCTTCTGGGCGGAGCTAGGTTGGCTGTACTAGCCACGACTCATACGCACAACGGCCTAAATGAGAGGCTAAGCGCGGAAAATAGAGTCCTATTTACATTACATGACAAGTCCTGGTAGTGTATTTAAATTTTTGACATATCAAACACCAAATTTCATCATAATCCTTACAATAAGCAAGCAAATGATGTTTTTATTTTATTATTACCCACTTTTCTACTTCCATCCTCACTTCTACTGTATATAAATGAGTTATATTTACAAACTAGCGGCACGTCCCGGCGTCACACGGGTGAACATTTTTAATATTTCCCTTCACTGCTCTGCTCCTATTGACCGTAGCGTGATGAAAAGTATACTATAACCTACCCAGGAGTATAAAGAATAATTGTACCAAGTTTCGTTAAAATCCGTCGAGTAGTTTTTGTTTCTATAACGAACATAAAGACAGACAGACAAAAATTTTACTTATTGCATTTTTAGCATCAGAGTCGATCGCTAATCACTTCCTGATAGTTATTTTGGAAATATATTTCATGTACAGAATTGACCTCTCTACAGATTTATTATAAGTATAGATAATAATAAATCTGTGAGAAATACTTGATGAAAGCATTTAATTTACAGAATACAACCCGCTAACGCCAGATATATGGGGCGGACCGGCAGGCGCAGTGGGCGGTTTCGCCCCGTACCCGCCGCACCCGCTGCACATGCACCCACACCCGCCCAGGGAACTCATACCCATACCCAGGTAGGTACACCACACCAGCCGTACGTACACGGGGGAGAAAGGGATTGTTAGTAATGGGATCTAACTGCTATCCATTGCTAGCAATACAAATCATTAGGTCGACCTCCACGCGGTTCCCCTGGAAACTATCGTGATTAATTCTAGTGGAATTCGTCACGGTGGTCTAGCTGACCTACTTTCATCGTCACCTATCATCCCTCACTGGTGCCCCGCCAGCGTTTACCGATATAGCAAGCGGGGTTACCTTTCCATTACATCCATTTAAAAAAAAAGCTGTACGTACATACAAATTTACCCCCAGTAAAAAGAACTATTTATTTATTTAATTTGGGATAACAACAGCTTTTTACAAAATTGAATACATATTAAATTACATTTACTACATATTAGACATAAGCATCCGTTAAGCAAATAAAACCATATTCTATAACAATATTAGTATGGTGCATCCGCTACAATGCTCGCACTGTATATATACTGTGCGAACACTACAGCTGACGATCCTACAAACCATTCCGAGAGCAATAAATACGTCACACTTGCGTACATACGTCAAACTATACTTATTCCCATTCATGTACTTAATAAATTTTATTCACATACTTACGTTTGTATTTCTTTTTTTGTTTGTTGCTTCATAACTCGGTCAGTTTTAATCCAATTTAATTTTTTTTTATGTTCAAGAATACACTTACTGATTGTTACTATAGAAATTTTATCAATATCGGTTTACTAGGTTAGCTTTCAAATAAAAATTACTGGTATTATTCTACCGCACTTGGCATTATTTGTTTAGTCGATTAAAATTATTTTGTTTAAATCCTCTACCCTTATTATTTATAGAAGTTCTACAACCTTCCATACAAGTCATTAATCTCCGATCGTTATTCAGTCTATGCACGTGTTGCAACACATGTTTTACATCTAAACGAGCCATCTTTAGACAATAGATCGATGCTTGGAGCTTAGTATTGACCATTCGGCTCCCTGCTGCGAAATAACTAATAAAAGAACTGGTTTTGTCCCAAATTGAACTTTTCTTTTTTTGATAGAAGACAAGCTTTAATTATATTTGTAAAAACTTATGAAATTTGCATATGTAATGATTCTGAAATTTATTCTTTATTGTACACAAAAAATTACAACATATAATATATATAAAATAAAGATGTACAACAGGCGAGCTTAACTCTGTAAGAGTTCTCTTCTAGCAAACCCTCAGTGGAAAGGAGCATTAATTACTAGCGGGCAGTGTGCGTACAATAATACTAGGAAACATTATAGATGTTTCTATTAAAAAATAATAAATATGTTGAATTGAATTTATTATAATTAAAAAGTACAAACTAATTGATCACTTACTTCTCTTTGAAGCTACTAAAGAAATGTGTTTTTTGACAGGATTCGACACGAACCAGCCGGGGCGCCGCCGCGAATGCCGACGCCCAAGCGGACTTTCGACTACAACCGGCTAGGTCTGTATACTGTGCTGACTGCTTTTAGGGTTAAGGTTATCTCTACAGTTTAGATTCACATGTAGATATATAGATCTAAATATTTTAAAAAAGTAACAAGTTAATATAAAAACATTTCTGGTACTCCAGTATTTTTTTTTTTTATACAACTTAGAATGGCAAACAAGCTGACGGCCCATCTGATGGAAAGTTGTAACCGTCGCCTATAAACATGAGCAGTACCATGGACATAACAGAGTATACAGTTTCACCCATGATACCCCCCATGCGCTGCCATTCCTGAGGACTCAGGTATTATACCCAGTAAATTCATGCCATATCCCACTCTTCAAACTGAAACACAGCCGTGCAAACACAACTGCTTCACGGTAGAAACACGAATGGGGCAGAGGTACTCAAGCAATCGACTTTTGTACAAAGTCTCCATCTGGTAATAATAATTCTAACAGGTTCTCAAGGTTGACTGGAAAAAATCTATTTAAGGTATAAATCCGCCTGTGTACATTTTTGTTATACATTAGTGCTTTAACGGCTCAGCTAATTGTGATGGGATTTTAATATATACTTGGGATGGATAAGAACATATATTACTTTGTCCTGGTCTATCAACATATCCCGATCACGCAGACGAAGGCGCGGGTAAAAATTAGTACATATAAAAAGCTACTGAAATGTTGTTATTTCAATTTATATATTTTACTGAAAAATATATTTATTTCTTAAATTAAATGATAGTTACTATATAAATATTATTATTATATTAGCCGTTAACTGACCACTGTTGGACATATGCCTCCCTCTATTGGGAAAGTTTATACCAGTAGTTGCCATGCTTGGCAAGCGAGTCGGCAATCATAGTTAGGTTTCTAGTGATGTTTTAAGAAAGACACTACTGCCCATCCTTTGATCACTAAGTTTTCTTAGTCGCCTCTTACGACACCCACGGGAAAGCAAGAGGTGGTCCATTCTATCCCGGGACCACACGGCTATATATATATGGGATTTTTTTAAAATTAATATATTTGTTGTTTTCGTTCAGTGTACTAGAGATTCTGAGCCTATATAGAATAAAAATGATAAACTTGTATTTGTATCAGCAGGCGCCCCCCGGCCCCCTCTACCCGCTAACGCGGCCAACTGCTCTCTGGAGGTGAAGAAGGTCCCTCGCGGCATGAACGACATCACACACCTCAACAACCACTTCTCCAAGTTCGGGAAGATCGTCAACATACAGGTGTTTTTTTTTTTTATGAAACTTACAATGGCAAACAAGCTGACGGCCCACCTAATGGAAAGTGGTAACCGTCGCCTATAGACATGAGCAGTACCATGGACGTAACAGAGTATACTGTTTCGCCCATGATACCCCTCATATGTTTCCATTCCTGATGACTAAGGTATTATACTTCTATACCCTGTAAATTTACCTCGGTAACCTCGCCTGCACTATCGATATAAACTGGCAGGGCATCAGTATGAAGTTATAAATTAAGGTGAAAGTAGATGATAAATTGAAAAATAATTAATCACGATAGTTTCTGGGGGCAATCACGTGGTCAACAACACTGGAGGAAAAATATTGTTAGTAATGGAGTTTAAAAGCCCCATTGCTATAACGTAACAAGTCAACCTTTCCTTCGGGAAAGCATCGTGGTTGATTCTTGTGGATTTCATCATGATGGGCTAACTGACCTGCTTTCATCCAATCCTATCACAGCACCCATCACTGACTGGTGCTCCGCTAGCAAATACCGAGCGCAGGCAGTGTAACCATTCCATTTTCACTCATTAAAAAAATAACGACTTTTTTTATGGTTTGCGGTACATTACCGATGCCTTAAATAAGGCATCCCGTCCTCGCTATTGGATACGGGTGACGGAATGCCTATACAAGAGGGTACTTGGTAGGCGCAATTTAGACGCAATATTTGAGAAAAAAAACTACATACTCCATGAAATAGGATAGTTTTAAATTATCAAATTGACGGTTTGTTCGCTGGTCCACAGGTGTGCTACGAGAACGACCCGGAGGCGGCGCTGATCACGTTCTCGACGCCGACGGAGGCCAACATCGCGTACAAGAGCACCGAGGCGGTCCTCAACAACCGCTTTATCAAGGTCTTCTGGCACAACCCTGAGGTTGGTAACTCATACCACATTGTCAGTCTGATAATATTCAGAATTTTAATGAAATTTTATGCAATCTGAAATAGCAAACTAGCTAACAATCAACTTAATGGAAAGTGGCAATCGTCAGTTATAGACATGAACAGCGCCAGATATCACAGAATACACTGTGATGCCCACCAGTACCTCTCATGTGTTGCCTTTACTGAGGATGATGCTTTGCCTCCGTATCCTATAGCCATCCATATTTCATCAAACTGAAACAGCCATGCAAACACAACTGCTTCACGACGAAAACACGATTGGAATCATTGGGATCGATCCTGGGATGAGAACTAGACGATTCTGAGTTGGGCATGAATTGATCCGTGCCTCATTCTAAATACGTCTATGGATAAGATAGATGCATTCAAATAGACAACTTTGGTACAGTCTCCCTATGATAATCTATCTATCTATGTTTTGTTAAACCACAAACGACTCTGTAACACGAAGATATAAAGAGAGATGACTAACAATTGATCATGTATTACCTTCATATAATCTCAAAAACGATGTTAATTTATCTTACAGAATAAACAAGAGAACGCAGCGGGGGCCGGTCAACAGGCAAACAAGCAGCCGGACAGACAAAACCAACAGCATCCCATGTCACACAACAAGGTGTTCATCAACAGGGAGAACATCAAAGCGACGGCGGACACCAAGCAACAGACGGAGAAGGTAAAATATGCTAGTGGTAGAAAAAAGCAAATACCAGATCATTTAAAAATATAATAAATATAAGTTTTAAAAATAGAATCCCAAATCATAAATATGGGATGTTAAAATGGCTTCTAACAGGAAGATGCACTCAATTCGAGCGTACTTTTTTGTGGCTGTTTTACGCGATTACGACGTCAATTCTGAACTGGGGGTTTAATATTAAATTAAATTTTGGACTCAATTTCGTATTTTTAACATCTAATTTATATTTTTAAATTATTTTGAAACTACGGAAAATATTCCATGGTAGGCCTTGTGATTTTAATTTCTTTTTTTTTTACAGTTTGTAGTATTTAAGCCATGTTGGTCCCATATTAATTAAAAAAATATATTAAATTAAAGTATGCAATTTATATGAATACACAATTTTATATTGATATAGTGGTTGTCTTTGCACATTTATAATTTAAAAACGACATTTGCAATAAAGTATAAAAGTATTCCAGGACTGATAATATCAGAAACATTTCTCTCATTTCAGCAAATAAAAGAGGTAGCCAACGGTCAAGAGCCGAAGAAGGAAGCGCCGAAATCGATGGAGAAGTTCAAAACGGTCTCGGACATGTATCAGAGGGCCAGGGAGCTGCTGGACAAGCAACTGCAGCAGCAGAAGTGCTTGATTGAGAGGCTCGAGTCTGGTGAGTTTGGAATTAACACTTAATGGGCCATGTTAATTTACGTTTTTCCACTGCACAAAGTTATTTATAGGAGACTTTACAGCACATCTTTTTTTTTATATACAACTTAGAATGGCAAACTAGCTGACGGTCCACCTGATGGAAAGTGGTAACGGTCGCCTATAGACATGAGCAGTACCATGGACATAACAGAGTATACTGTTTCGCCCATGATACCCCCCATGCGTTGCTATTCCTGAGGACTCAGGTGTTATTCCTCTGTACCCAGTAAATTCACGCCATATCTCACCCTTCAAACCGAAACACAGCCATGCAAACACAACTACTTTACAGTAGAAACACGAATGGGACAGAGTACCCAAGCAATCGACTTTTGTACAAAGTCTCCGTCTGGTGAGATACATCACATGCTTTTAATTTTACTTTACTCTATTAGTAACTATATGGCTACTAATAATATAATTTATTATTTAGCGTATTTATGTTTGCACCACATATGCTATGCTTTAAGTGCAAACCCTATAGACACTTGCTCTTTTCGTGTTGTCAAGGTCGACTCGAAGAAATCCCTTTAAGGGATAAGTTCGCCTGTGTACATTTTTGTTATAACCTAATATCTATAAGTGAATCTACAAAAGTGTATAGATAAATAAATAAAAAATGTGATTATTAATATACACTTATTGAACAGGTAACGTGACGAGCCAGCAGAAGCCAGCGTTAGTGGAAGCCATCAACTCTGGACAGCAGGCTATCGAGAAGTTGAACAAAGAGATCGGCTCCTACGGCAAGATGCTAGCACAAGTGAAGGTAGGTGTTTGATTATATCGCTACATTGCTTCTGCCGTACTCTTTTACCTTCTAAATAATATTTAGTAGGTATAAAGTTATATATAATAATGTCTTAGATTATATAGATAGGGCATCGAGCCTCAAAAACGCGTCAACTTTTCGTCAGCTAATTGTCAAATGAGCTGACTAGTTTTTTTTTTTTTTTATCAGTGTTCTGTATATTTATGCAAAAAATGTATCTCGACGTATTGTTTAATAAATAAAATGAGTGTTTACGCATTAAAAAGATGCAGAAATTAAGACAATAAATATAGAAGTTTAAAAAAAACACTCATAACTATTTATAACGCAAAATTGTATGAAAAAGTTGACCCGTTTTGCTCGAAGCATTTCTATGGAAACACCCTATATATATAATAAAAAAATAATATAATATACATGTCATCTCGTGGGGAGACACACGTGTCCAGTAATGGTCTCTATGATACGTTATATTCCTGTAATTGGAAAATATTTCCTACTTATTCGCTACCTGATATATTTCGTCAGAAATATGTCACTTATTACTCCAACAATTTTAAGGTCACGAGTAATTTAGCATGTTATTGTATTGTTGTTTAATTTTCTACCTTATATCTAGCGTGTCAAATTTTATATTCATTTGTAGGTATAATGCAACCTTTTAAATCCTTAACTGTGCAAACTAAGTTTGTACAGTTAAAACTTTAATTTTTTTTTTTATTTTTAACTGATTTCAAAAACAAGGAAGTTCTCAAATCGGTTGTTTTTTGTGATTGTTATGTGAAATAGCGTCATCAACGTTTATTTTAGTCTACTTATGTTATTATGTGTGACGAGAAATAAATGAATAATGTGATGACAGGACGAGACGGTAGCGCGCTCCCTCTCTCGACTGCAGCTATCACAGGTACCGCGGCCGCGTCTGCGCATGCGTTTGTTTGGTGCATTGTGACGTAATAGTTGTTTTTTTGGGTGGGGAAAACAACCAGGGGAACTTGTTTATGGAACATGTCTCTAATAATTATTATTACACACGGAAACTAACTTATCGTTTTTATGTTTTACGTAACGTTTATCAATTTGGGTGTAGCATTCTTATAAATTAAACTTTATTCAACTTTGAGGTTTAACACGTTAGTCCTCAGTTGTGGCAACGCTCGAGGAATACCATAGACAGCACAATATATCTGTTTTATTACCATGTCATGCCATCAGGTGGGCTGTTGGTTTATTCGCCACTCCCAGGTCAGGTGTACGAGAAAAGACTATTTCAAACATTGTAACCCAACTAAAAGAATAATTTGAAAAAAAAAACAAAATTATCGAAAAAAGAAGTTATAATTTATATTAGTTTAATTATATATTTATAATTAATATATCAAGTATTACTTTATACAATTCAAACAAAAAAAAATCGATAATGTATGTACTGCCTACTTATTTCTCGGTTTGCCCAACGGTTGACTGGTAGAGAGCACCGTCCGGTGTTAAGTCCGCCATATGTACATACAATTTCACTTTGCAATAAAAATTTAAATAAATAAAAATAAATAATTCAAACCATTTAAATAGTAGTATAGCATTATTAATCTCACTTAACATATTAAAATTAATTTACGGTTTACAATAGAACGTCGTGTATAATTAAAAGCACCGTGTCGATAATAGATTATTCCCTTATTTATAAAAACTAAAAAACATGCAAACCTTGAGAATTTGGCATAAAAGAAAGAAACAAAACAGTTTAATAGCTAAAATAAGATATGAGAGATTTGAAGTTTTTATAAATGCAACACCAGAGAAAGACTATGTACAAAAGTCGTTTGCTTGGGTACCTCTGTCCCATTCGTGTTTCAACCGTGAAGCAGCTGTGTTTGCATGGCTGCGTTTCGATTTGAAGGGTAGGATATGGCGTGAATTTACAGGGTACAGAGGAATAACACCCGAGTTCTCAGGAATGGCAACGCATAGGGGGTATCATGAGCGAAACAGTATACTCTGTTATGTCCATGGTACTGCTCATGTCTATAGGCGATAGTTACTACTTTTCATCAGGTGGACCGTCAGCTTGTTTGCCATTTTAAGTTGATTAAATAAAAAAAAAAAGTTTTACAAGTATTTGAAAAGAGTTTAGATGTAATATCAGAATACTTTATGCTTTTTAAACTACACATTAACTCGTCATCTACAGAGAAGATAGTTTTCAAATTCTTAATTCCAAAGCGCGCAACGTCATTAGAGATTTAGTATTTTAAAATTACAATAACCTATTTAAACCTTCAATTTGTTTTTATTGTTTGTTTTGTCAACTATTTAATTTCTTGCATGCACATGTATGATCTATTTAAACATTCCTATTTTGAAAACGTACCGTTATGATTTTGTTGTTTTTTTTTTTTTAATTTCTTCCATATATTCATTGTGTTGTCTTTGGATTTGTGTTATAGCAGTGTCACGCATGCGCATACGCGACGCACGTTTCGTATCTTAATGTCATGGATTCATAACCATCTCATATCACTTTGTAATTGTTAATTATATATATATATATATATATATATATATATATATATATATATATATATATATATATATATAGTTTTATGTTTTGCCTATATAATAATACACTATTTGTTAACACAATGTGATGCTAAAAATCAATATCTGATACTGTCACACTATTTTGGTCAATTCCCTCTGAATAATTCCTCAGCAATGGTAAAGCATGAGCGGCACCATAGATTTCACAGTGTCTAATGTTCATGGTGTTGTTTACATCAATAGAGGACCACTTACCATTAGATTCACTGTTACATACCTTGTATGAATTGTACCCGTATTAAATTGTATAAACAAAAGGACGGGAATCTAAAACGAAATTTAGACAGATTTAAGCATAAATAAGGAAAAGTATTCCATGCTATGGTATATATTGGAATCCCATATATGTGGCATTAGCATTGTGAAACAATTTAAATTAAATTATGCATAATGATATATATATATATATATATATATATATATATATATATATATATATATATATATATATATATATATATAGATATATATATATATATATATATATATATATATATATAGATATATATATATATATATATATATATATATATATATATATATATATATATATATATATATATATATATAAGATATAAACTACAAAAATACAAACCATATATATATATATATAGATATATATATAATGATGTGACCACACGGCAACGTACAATACTTTATCTTATATACGTTCTCGCTTATAAGTTAATTAATTAGCTAGCTGCCATATAATTATTTATAGCCATTTACTTTCATCATCATTCATAATCTAAATAGATGTAGTTTGTAAATAGTTTATCATAGTATAGAAATATTTTACAAATATATTGTTTTGTAGTTAGTGACTTTATTATAATTACAGATTAAATTAATTTTACAAATTACAATACTATGAGTATTGTAATTACTATAAACTAATACATTTCACAAAATCACAAAAAAAAAATTCTACAATCAGTCCCATTCATGATGCGTACCCGACCCAAAGGTCCCCATGACACTTGCGGCATTTCCGCGTTGGATTGCCAGAGATATCCTTTAAGTCAGATAGGAACCAGAACGGCGATCATGGCCCCTATCCGCAATGCGCAGACTCAACTCTCTTATGAAGGATTTAGTGATATCTTGAATTATTTTTAATTTGAAGTATATTCTATCTATATTTACATAAATACTGTAAAACTGTCTACAAGTGTCTAGGTACAGTCGTGTCCAAATGTCTGAACACTTTTTAAGAGAATTGTAAAAAAGATGGGTTTCAATTCGACAAATTTTCATTTATATCGATGCAGTAAATTAAAACTATTATACAGTTAAGCAGTTCAGTTTCAGCCTACAATTAACAAACCAACAATCTCATTCTCATCTCACATCTATCTATACTTATAATAAATCTGTAGAGAAGTAAATTCTGTACATGAAATGTAATTACAAAATAGCTATCAGGCGGTGATTAGTGATCGATACTGATGCCAAAAATGCAATCAGTAAAATTTTTGTCTGTCTGTCTGTCTGTCCGTTCGTTACAGAAACAAAAACTACTCGACGGATTTTAACGAAACTTGGTACAATTATTCTTCCTACTCCTGGGCAGATTATAGTATACTTTTCATCACGCTACGATCGATAGGAGCAGAGCAGTGAAGGGAAATGTGTCTGTTACATCGAAACCACTGAACCGTAAGGAAGGGCATAGGCTACTTATTTGACGAAAAACGACGGAAACGCGTACAAATTCGCGGAAATCAGCTAGTCGTAAATAAATTAGACAATTAGTTTCATTACATTGTACATCTAAGTGTAAACTTCTAATTACGTAGTTTATTTATGTAAATAAAGGTACAGAAATTAAGGCTTTTCATGAAAGGGCTATTATTGTAAGATTTATTAAATTTAAACATTAAGGCTTTTCACTAAAACAGTTACACTAGTCTTATAAATAATGCTCATATAATAACGAGCTATAATCGTGCGTAGGGCAAAAAGAGGGAACCAAGAACAGCTTCTTTCTCTGCGTCCGTATTTCCGATTCGTGAACTACATTAAGCAACCTCTCTTTTCTATTTAAGCAACATTCTTTATATTTTATTTATTCTACTCAACTTAGTATAAAAAAAAAAATAAGTAAAAATATTTTCCAGACAGTAAGTATTTTTATACTCCTTTTTTCCCTACAAGTAACTTTTTTTTTTATTGAAATTGATTCAAATGAGTTGCTTATTTAGAGCGTTTACTGTATATAATATATATTGGTCTTGGAAAAAAAAGATACAGCGATTAATTTAACAACTTGTTAGCAAGAGTAGTAAGCCTACTCTCTGTCTAAAAGATATTATAACATCCAATTTTTTATATGGCTAAATAAGTACGGCTCGCCATTGACAGGGAGTTCATCCTTATGTCCTACAGCCTCAATGGTCGCGTACTGCGCGGTTTCAGAGATGTTTCCTCCCACGAACAGTCAGCTTGTGGAATGAGCTCCCTGCCGAGGTTTTCCCAAGAGACTACAGCATGGAGTTCTTCAAAAGGGGGGTAAAGAGGTTTCTTCAGGGTCGGCAATGCGCGCGTAATACCTCTGGTATTGCAGGTGTTCATAGGCTACGGTAACCACTTACCATCATGTGGGCCGTATGCTTGTTTGCCACCTCAGTGGTATGAAAATATATATATATATATATATATATATATATATATATATATATATATATATATATATATATATATATATATATATATATATGGCTAAATTAACACTGAAAATAATTATTCTGCGAGCTCTAATCTCGATCTCGTCAAACAAATTCAATGGCGGGGATCTTTAAAGAGTAATCGCCAGACCCTCTCATCTTCACGAACTTATTAGCCTCCATTCTTGTTAGAATTTTTGAAAAATGTCTATGAAAAATGAAAAAAAAAAACAAATATCATTTAATATTCGGTGAGTGATTGAATTACGCTTCCTATATGTCTTGTCTTAATTATAAGACTCATTTTTTGGTGGTTATTTTTTTTTAATTTTTAATAGTATTTTTGTTACCGCCATTTTTGTTTGGTGTTGGTTGTTTACACAAGTGTGTCACTAATGTTTTTTCTTTTTTTTTTTACATCCATGAGTGTAATATGTTCATAATATTTCATTTATACATGTTTATATAGGGATTGTTCAGAATTTTTAGGATTTATTAATTTCTTAGTGGCCCTATCTAATTTCCAAATGTTCCGGTTTTCCAAAAATACAATGTATGTACATTTAACATGATTGATTTGCTATTGGTATGGTAGTAAGTTACGTCAATAATTTTATTACATTTCATTTTGTGTTCACATTTAAATGTGGTTTTGTTTAATGGATCGTCAAATAATAGATTTCGTTTTTCGTATTCGCTTTTGTCCTCAAATCAACTGATTTATCACCAAAATGTCCTAAACTATGGGAAAATTATTACTATTTGATAAAATTACTTGATATTATATTTTGCATTCAGTCATATGTTTCTTTTTCGCTCCACATTGATACTTCATAGAGGCTAGGCTGCCTAAAATAGAATAAAGGTAGCAAGTAGAAAGGGAGGTGGTGTCAACAGAAATCTTATTTTTTTTTTTCGATTAGGTAAATTAAGGCATACAATATTACCACCTAACTAAATAGTTGAGAGCGATAACGTACCTAAAGCCCTAATGTAAATAGTCTAAAATCCAATAATAGCCTAACAGCTTTGTATATAGCTAAGTACGAGCTTTTGTCCGCAGGCAAACGTGAAGAAACCAAAGACAAGAGAGGAGGCGCAGCGAGAGATATTGGATGCTGAACTGGACATGTTTACAAAACAGCAGGTGAGAATACGTATATTGTTATTACATTATATACAGCTCCCAACAACTACAAAATGAAAAGAGACATCATATACATCCTGGATGGCTATTGTGCAAAATTTAATATTATTTTTTATAAAATTATTATTACCAGAGGGAGACTTTGTACAAAAGTCGATTGCTTGGGTACCTCTGTCCCATTCATGTTTCTACCGTGAAGCAGTTGTGTTTGCATGGCTGTGTTTCGGTTTGAAGGGTGGGATATGGCGTGAATTTACTGGGTACAGAGGAATAACACCTGAGTCCTCAGGAATGGCAACGCATGGGGGTATCATGAGCGAAACAGTATACTCTGTTATGCCCATAGTACTGTTCATATCTAAAGGCGACGGTTACCACTTTCCATCAGGTGGGCCGTCAGCTTGTTTGCCATTCTAAGTTGTATAAAAAAAACGACAAATTTAAATCGTCTTTATTCAAATAAATGGTGTAATAATAGATGTAAATAAATAAAGATGGTGTGATTTCCAATACAAATAAAAGTCTAATGACATGACTAATGGCGACTGTGTAATGAGAGAAATAGATTACAACATGTCACCAAGGGTGTTGAGGGACAAAGAAAATTAAAAAAAAAATTTAGTTGAGCGTAAATATTTTTTTTTTTTTTTTATAGGAGGGCCAAGATGTCACGGAACTAGTGAAGAAGATTGCGGACCTAAGAAGACAGATGGCGATACAGTTTCCGCCACTGAGGAGACAGCAGTCTAGGTTAGATATCTATTTTATATTATCGAATGGTATATTTGTATTTAATTGTAAGAATATTGTTTTATATTAATGATATTAAAAAAAATATGTATACCAGTTCTTTATATAGTAGAAAGAAATAACATTAAATTAAATAATAAACTACAGAATATATTAAATAGATAGATAGATAGACAATTTATTTACATTACTTACAGCACACAAATTACAATAAAAAAAAAAAAAAAACATACACGTAATACACAGCAAAAGAGACAAAAGAATAAAAATAAAAAAAAAACAAATAAAAAAAAAATACAAAAACAAAATACATAATCTAACAATCTCCTTTGTTAACATTCCTTCATGCGTGTGCCATAGTAACACAAAATGGTCACAGCTCAGTTTATTGCTTTGCCCTTAAAAGAGCAAAACACTGATATTCTGCTGTGGCCAAATATTCTAAATAACTATATAATATTAATTATATTTACAATATGTATAGATACACACCATTACTTAAATAATGAATAATAATACCAAAAATACATAGGTAATCTATTGTGAATAAATTTCCATGACTGAATATTATTATATCAAACTCTTAAACTATTTCTAAAGTGAAAAAAGTTTAAGAGTACGTTGTCCTCCTCTCTCCTGCTTGCTGTGCCCAACAGGGTCCATAATTGATGTTGAAATGTTATGTACTAGTCACATTACGGAATGCAATGAGAAATAAATAAAATAGATAAACATAGTCTGGTCTTGTCAAATTTTGTGTCTTTAAGTATATTACCATATATTTTAACTAAATCTTGTTGAAATTGTCGCAGAAATAGTCTCTACATGGATTTATTAATAAATGGAAATTTTATTCAATCGATTAATCAGAGAGCCTACCATGAAATGTTTTCCGAAATTTCGGAGCCGAACGAAACACAAATTTAATGTTAAAATTACATAATACCGTTTAAAAACATTAAAAATATGAAAATATTATTCCTTGGGACTTTTATGGTAAGATTTATGACGAACGAAATGTTAAGCTCCATTTACTGGCCCGATTTAGGTATGAACAAAAACACGAAATTGAGTCCCAAACTTCGGAATTTCATATCTAGTACACCCCCAGTTTATAGTATGTACTAGTATTGGGCATCATTTTACTGTAGCTCTGCAATTCCAATACATATCTGTTACCATCTCAAAAAGTATTGAGATTTTCGATATCGACTTCTCCAACACTGTCAAATTGCGGAGTCATCTTGAAGATAGGTCACAGGTTTCTGTGCCTGATAAAGCCCGTCTTTCATAGCCATAGATAAAAAGAAGTTTATGGACACGGTAGACGTACCATGTCTATAAACTGCCTACTAGCTTATGTACTAGCTTATTATATGTTACTGTATTTCAATTTTATAATAAACCTCTCATCTCTATTGCTTTTTACCTTTCAAGCTATCGTATTGTGAAGAGAAAACTTAGGTGAGGATTTTTATAAATCAATTTTTTCTTTGTAGATGGAAAATATTGAGTATGTTATTTTTTTTTTTTATAATATTTATTATGCATGCTTTACTGTTTTTTGACAATATATTTTTACATGTTTTAGTGTGATGGGTAAAACACAGCTCATTTTTTTAAAACAAAGTATAACTTGTTTCTTACTAGTCTCGTTAGTAATCTTAGAATTTTCTTTTATTCTTATAAAAAGATATGTACAAATTCAAAAGTAAATAATTATTTATTATATGTTATATTGTGTTTCTGCCGTGAAGCAGTTGTGTTTGCATGGCTGTGTTTCGGTTTGAAGGGCGGGATATAGCGAAAATTTACAGGGTACAGAGGAATAACACCCGAGTCCTCAGGAATGACAACACATGGGGGCTATCATGGGCGAAACAGTATACTCTGTTATGTCCATACTTCCATAGTACTGCTCATGTCTATAGGCGACGGTTATCACTTTCCATCGGGTGGACCGTCAGCATGTTTGCCATTCTAAGTTGCATAAAAATAAATATGAAAAACTTTATGTCTGTTGCTTTTCCCCCTGCCTTTGCCTCTAATATAAAATATCCATATCTAAAAGACGTGGAAACACTATTAGTGGAGCCCTGACAAATGTTCTTGAATGTTATTTATTAGTTATAATATCTATGTAATGGCCAAATAATAGATATTTTAAATATCGATTATCCGATGTACTTGTATAATATCAATTTAAAAACCTAATCGAAATTAATATAGATATCCGACTGGTACGGGCGATATCGAAATGGGTGATTACAATTTTTTTCGCTATCAATATCCGAGAAAACCCAATATATAGATATCAAAGTGATGTCGATATTACACATACCTAGTTGTAAATATATTTTAATAAGTGATATCCGCGACAGGGGCGGCCGGTTCAACACGTCGACCCGGTTCACCCGCAACGCGGCCGCCGCGCCGAAGGTGTTCAGCGTGAACCAGTCAGTGGACCACCGGCCGCGCGCGCTCCTCATCTCCGGCTTCGAGGCGGACGAGCTGGATGGACTGGTCGCGCATTTCTCTGTAAGTCACACGTATTTATATAAAGACTGAGAAGGAATCGAGTGGAATGTCCTTCCAGTCTAGAAATATTATTAAAATAAGAGAATAATATTTCAATAATATATATATATATATATATATATATAGGTTTTATTTCAAGGTTTAATTTTAGGGCGACTTTCTACAAAAGTCGTTTGCCTGGGGTGCCATGGGTACCTCTGTCGCATTCGTGTTTCTACCGTGAAGCAGTTGTGTTCGCATGGCTGTTTCGGTTTGAAGGGTAGGATATGGCGTGGATTTACAAGGTACAGAGGAATAACACCCGAGTCCTCAGGAATGGCAATGCATTGGGGGGTATCATGGGCGAAACAGTATACTTTGTTATGTCCATGGTACTGCTCATGTCTATAGGCGACGGTTACCACTTTCCATCAAGTGGGCCGTCAGCTTGTTTACCATTCTAAGTTGTATAAAAAAAAAATCTAATTGTAAAATAAGTATTTTAATAACAATGTACGATTCCTGTTTATATCATTATGTGAAACAGAATCTGCTTTTTATTTTTATTATATTCATAACGATAGGTTTATAATTAGGGAACGTGCATTTTACAAAGTGTCTCCTGAATCAAATATTTTATTTATATTTTATTTATTTTTTATTTATTTATTTTCTCCACAAATTTTACAGAAAAATACAATTACATGAAAAAAATACAACTATATTTCTGTCTGTAAAACTTGTGGGCGACTGGACCCTAAACTAGGTCAGCGATCTGTATCTATTTATATTAGTAGAACTATATATTAGTAGAAATTATTACTCGAAAGCCAGTTCTGCAGGTCTACCATGAAATGAAATTCCGAAATTTCGGATTCAATTTTGTGTTTTTGTTTATACTAAAATCGGACCAATAAATGGATTTTAACATTTCGTTCATCATACATCCTATCATAAAAGTCAAAAGGAACAATATTTTAACATTTTTAATATTTCTAAACGGCATTTATTATGTAATTTTAACATCAAATTTCTGTTTCGTTTCGATCCGAAATTTCGGAAAACATTTCATGGTAGGCCCTCTGATCGCTTATGTTAATCTCTTACAATTTGGATATTTCAACTACGGCTATCCTTCAATAGACAAGTGCTTTGTCTAGAGATCGGTTTTGCACTATATAACCGTGTTCTGACAATGCCATGGATTCGATTTAGTCTTACATATTAAATAAATAATGTGCAAAGATAGAAGAAAGCAATTGTAAGTGTATGCACGGGGAGCCAATATTAGGTTCTTAATGAACGTACTGCGAGCTGGTGCCGATTATCATAGATGTACGTTAAGAGAGACGAGAGCTGACCTTTAGCTGTGATGTAGTAAGCTGCATCCACCAGTAAGGTACCTCTGTGCCTCTGCTGGCAGCAATCCTCGCGTCCAGGGCCTTGCAGCGCTTCTTCTTGGCCAATGGTCGTCACCGTCTTTAGATCAGCGGATGTGGACTGTATCAGCAGTGTATCATAGTCTATCCAGCGTGGATGGATGATAGAAAAACGAAAGACGCTCAGCTAAGATGAAGCGGCTTCTCACACGCGGTCAAGAAGGGCGGTTTCCGCCTAGCGTGGGCGGATATCAGTGGGAATACGACACAACCGTTCGACGATGTTGTGCCATAGACAATACTGGTGTATTGTCTATGGCACAACATCGTCGAACGTTTGGTGTGCAGCGAAAGAATAATGAGAGTGGGGCGTATATAATATAAAAATAGGGTTTTTTTTTGATGGATGAAAATGGAATGGTAACCCCGCCTGCGCTAACGGGATACCCTGGCGGAACACCAGTGAAGGGTGATCGATGAGGATGAAAACAGGCCAGTTAGCCAATCATGATGAATTAAGGAATTAACCATGATAGTTTCCAGGGGGAACCGCGAGGAGGTCGACCTGGTTAAGTATATTGCTAGCAATGGGATTCTCAGTCTCCATTACTAACAATCCCTTTTCCCGTATAAGAATAGGGTAGATTAATTATAATAGTAAGTTTGTGGACAATGTAAATAATGGTATGAATTTGTTGGCAGCAATACGGTCCCGTGTGCCACAAGGAGGTGAACCTGTCCGTGCCGGAGCTGGTGCTGCAGTTCCGCGCGCGCGGCCACGCCGAGCAGGCCGCCATACACGGCAAGCACTACAACGAGCGCACGCTCTCGGTAACATACTTACAAACAATTTTAGTATTAATACATTTATTTTAACATATCACATAGTATGCCATAATATTCTGAATACACTCTTGACAATTTTAACAACACTATAATCGGTAATTATGTATATATAATTTATTACCTCTATTACCTCTTTCAAGAAGAGGTTGAAATCGTATTTTCTTTCCCTTTAGCAATTTTTTTTTTTTTATTTTTCTAATTGAACTGTCAAATCTTAAAATCATAAAACGAAATTTCTAATGTAAGCAGTATATTCATTTATTTTAACATTTATTATATAAGTAGGTAGGTGTTATATGTATTTATAGTGTATGTATTTATGTAATATTTTATTATATATTTTAATATTTTATTTAACTGTATATTTGTTTATGTATTAATAGTTGTAACACTTCAGCTGCCCGCTAACGAAATGCTTTCTTACCGTACTGGGTTGACTGAAAGAGATCTCTGTCAGAGATAAGTCCACCCTTGCTCACAACATTTATAAATAGATTATTTTATATGTAACTTACAAGTGCAATAAAGAATATATATATAAATTAGGACAATAATAAATTTAAACCGTTTTAATTCTAATTAGGCAATTATAACGTTTTTGAATAACCTAGTTAGTAAGTTTCAATTCTATAAATGACGTATAATCACTAACACAACTAATGAATTTTAAGTTTAATAAATCATAACGGTACTTTCTAATTATAAATTAAATTGAATATTCTATACTTAGTAAAACTACATAAAGAGTATACAAAAGGTGTTCCCTTCTGTTTCTGTCGAGCGACTGAACCGTCTTTTGCTCGTTGTCTAATACTTGCTTCCCGCTTACGGCGTGGCGGATGTTGTAGTGGGGAGAAATTAATCAATTTCTTGACTGTTTTTTTAATCGACGATAACATCCTGCACTTAAAAAATAATTGTTATTTTATGTTGATAAAATTTTATAATAAAATTCTCAAAAGTATAAGAGAATCACCTCTCATCCGTTTTGAAATGTCCCTTAAAGTGACCATTTTGACAAATGTTTTCTTTTCTTTATGCATCTTAGAATGGTAAATAGTATACTTTTCATCATGCTACGATCAATAGGAGCAGAACAGTGAAGGGAAATGTTGGGAAAACGGGAGAAGTTACTCCATTTTTAAGCTTCCGTCGCGTGTGCAGCCTTAATGGCCACTTTTTAAAATGTAAAAATGTCCACCCGTGCGACGCCGGGACGGGCCGCTAGTATACAATAATTTATGTTGTTTATTCGAGACCAAAATGCTGTATTTGATCAAGGAATAATTTTTTTTATAGGTAACGTGGATGGCGAATCCAAAGCCGGTGTCAGTGGTGGGTGATGGTGAACAGCGAGCGCCGCCGCACAATGGCGATAACGGGAATGAGGATAATAAAGATGCTGAGGTTGGATATAGCCATTAATCTATGGTTTTTAATTTTTAAATTTAGTGCATACGTAAGTGTATTAAGACTCGTCTGATCGCGTTACTATCGCATGCTCGTTTGCCCCCTGTGTTGTAAAAAAAAATACACACATACCTTATAGATATACAATAGGAAAGGTGTTAATGCCTACACAGACAGATTAAATAATAGTACCCGCGGTACGCAGTTGGACAATAGAAAATTACTCTTATTTTAATTGAATAAGTCAAAGATTTTGAATTAATTGCAATTTATCAGGATTTAATATTATTTTTATGAAATTACATAGACAAAACAAAAGTATGTCAGTTGTTTCAGCTATTAGATTTAAGGACAATGTAAGGTCACATCTGCCTTTCCCGTGGGTGTCGTAAGAGGCAACTAAAGGAACTTAAGGTCGAGGGATGGGCAGCAGCATCCCTCTTAAAATATCACCAAAGGCCTGTGGTTGCTACTGTGGTTGTAACTGTGATTGCTAACCCGCCTGCCAAGTGTAGCAACTATTGGTAAAATCCCCCCCCAATTATCAGGGAAGCCTATGTTCAATAGTGAACAATTAATGGCTTATCAGCCATGGTATGGTACAGAGTACTTATTGGCTCCAAATGTAAATGTCCTTAATCACCACTTGACAGGCATCGCACGAGATATCAGAGGACGCGCTTCTTCGCTTCGACGAGGAAGAGGAGGAGGACGCCGAGGACCGGTCGTGGAGACGTTGACGCCGCGCCGGCCGCTAGCCGCCGCCCGCCGCCGCCCGCGGCCTCGGGGCTAGCAACCAACCACTCGCACTTAGCTCTGTATATACTTGTGTATATATACCCGTGCGCCATTGTCGACGTATGATCTGTCATTCGTGAATCCATAGATAAACGCTAGTAACATAGACTATAGCTATTTTACTTAGCTTTCTAATTGAAAGTGTACCGATTAATCGATTGTACAATACATTAGATTAGTAATCGGACGTACGTTCATAATCGCGTACGGGGTAAGTAAGCATTTATATCTATTTGTATGTTTGGTCACCACTGATCTAATGGTCATACCTGACAACGAACATGCTCGCCAAGCAACTTGCAATGTCTACTTCATATATGTATCGACATTTATTAAAATTTAAAATGGATTTCTTACAAAAATGTATGTCAATGTACTTACGTTATCAAAATTGTGGAGTCTAGTTCTTGTATTTTTCAGTATGATTTGTTTTTTTTTTATTTTTTATTAACTGTTATTAATTAGTGCATAGCAAATATCGTCACGCTATTAGAGCAGTGGTGATTGGACAGTGGAACACTTAAACCTTATGAAATCGAGCCCAATATTCTAAAATAACTATCAAAATAAGGAATTTAGCTGTCATAAATTATTATTATAGATTTTTTTTTACAATATATATACATCAAGTATAGCAGCTTGTTAACCAAAATTTGTTTTAGTCGTGCAAGTCATGCAAAATGTCGAAATTCTTTTTTTTTTTTTTTTTTTTTTTTTGCTTTAGTTAAGATATTTGAGGGTAGACGAAACGTGGCTTGATCTGGATTTTCTAGATGTTGTTTATCGAGTTAGCTACTTTCAGATTGTATAGGAGATAAAAGAAATTCAAGTTACCGTTTTATATAGTTTAAAAAATAAGTATATTAGTTGTTTACAAAAAAAAAAAAGAAAAACGTCAAATTTATTGTTAATATTCATTTTCATAAGGATTTTCGTGATAATTCCGTTTGGTGGCTTAGTTCAGTAAACTGTATACGGCTTTTTAAGTGATAAGCACGAAGATTGCTACAAATATTTATTAAACTCTTTGAATTAATTAAACTTGAAATTCCTATGAATTAGGGGGAAAATACAGTTCTACGATGGTGGCGACAGTAGATCTAATTATAAAAGAATGCGATGCTATGTCTTTTCGTTCCAATGTTATCTTCATACATTTTGTTACCATTTAAGTTAATCTAATATGTCGATCATGTAACGCTTGTTAAATCGTCTGCTTAATTGACGTCGTCGTACGTACGCATCTAATGATAACGTCGACAAAGAGAACAATTCTGGCGCCTCAGAATCGAAATTCTTTAAATTTATCACTAAACCAGATATTTTAATTTAATAGTTTCACATAATTACCGTTTTATGAACCGTCATATAATAAATTTATAATAATTTTGACATTTATTAAAAAATCAATTCATATTCGTCTTTCGAATACAAAATTTCGTTATGATTTTAAAACTAGGTTTTAATTTTAGAGATAGATTTAAAGAAACGCCTCGGAGTCGTCCCCCAATGTCGTCGCGATAAATTGTATGTCATGTCGTCACGTTGAATTACAATCGTGTCACAATAATTTGAAGCCATATCGTCGCGTTGAAGTCATATCGCGTTGACTTGAACTCGTCTTCACAGTGAATTGAAGTCATATCGTGTTATTTTAAAATTATATCGTCGCGTTAAATTACAGTCATGTAGTCTCATTAAATTGATGCCATTGTCGTCGCGATAAATTGAAGTCATTGTCGTCGCGATAAATTGAAGTCATGTTGTCACATTGAAGTCATTATCGTCGCGATAAATTGAAGTCATTGTCGTCGCGACAAATTGAAGCCATTGTCGTCGCGATAATTTTGAAGTCATGGTCCTCGCGATAAATTGAAGTCATGTTGTCACATTGAAGTCATTGTCGCCGCGATAAATTTCAACCGCATCTTTGCGTTGAAACACTGCGTTTAATAATCACAATCGTATCGGAGCGTTTTTATGTAAATACATTATTTTTTGTAAATATTAACCTTACGTAACGATAACTAAGGTTGACCAACAGCATATTTCAATCTCGCTTAGTTCCTATAAAAACGAAAGAGACAAATGATTGGTCAACGTATAGGTTGGTGTAATTTATGCGATATTTCTTTTTTTTTTATAGTTTACTTTTTTTTAGGTGTAGAATTCGAATTGAGGTGTAGTGGTTTAATTTCGTTAAGTTTGTTCATGTGTGCGTTGTGTGTACTAATAACGAAGTGTAATATAACGAGAGATGTTTATGGCACACATTTATCGTCTCACACACATACGCAGCAGTGTGTGCGTTGTTGTGTTAAAGTGTAAAGAATTAATTATTGCAAGCTAGTGGCTTGGATACTTTAATTTAACTTTGACTACGTATTTCTAAATAGTCGGAAGTGTACAGCTGTTCGTAAATATTTTACGATTTATTGTAACAATTCGATTTATATGATTCGATGATAGCATGGCCGGCATAAAATTGCTAATGTTATCTCTAACACGTATTGAAGGTATAATACTGTGTTCAAAGAAATGAACGACACAGTATATACTGTGATTACCCATTAAACGGGCCGTTAATTTGCAATTTTCAGTAGTACTGAAAACATATAATGATTTTCAGACAATAATGTTGTTATCTAAAATGAATAATTGGCAAAAATTTTAATGTTTGTTTGTTACCTCTTGTCGTCTTAACAGCTTAACCAATCACTATTAAATTTAGTATGCATGTACTAAATAGATTAGAGAAGGATATAAGGTAAATACTTTTTATTCCCATCTGTAAATATATCCCAGTTTTGCAGACGAAGTCGCGAGTAAAAGCTAGTATTGAATAAAAGTAGTTTGCAGTTTATGTTATAATAACTACATTGCTACAGAACTGCTGGTAGCGCGATAAATCTAAAAAATTTCCCTTAAAAGATTGAACATACAATGGCGGACTTATCCCATAGAAGGATCTCTTATAGTCATATTTTAAGAAGCTGAAAAAAAAAACTGTAGAATGTTCGAGGGTAAAAACTGTACAATTAAAGATTAAACCTAATAACACTTAGTTAATATTGATGTTATTGACCGCAGTTATCACAAAATTGAAATGTAATGTAAAAATAAGCGTGCATCTCTCGTTATAGACACTCGAAGACGTTTAGTTTAGTCTACATATGCGTAATATCTGGGATCACATTCAATTAAAGCGTCCATTTTAAATGAATAGTATATTAGGTAGTTTGTATGGAAAACAGTCATTTAAAAATTTATTCCCTTATTCATAAAAAAGTAAAACGTCCTAAATAAATATTTTTTACTATTAGAATGTTTTGTCGCAGTCTTTCAAATTGAGAAATTGACGTAAAAGAAAGAGACTTCAATAGCTAAAAAATGTATAATATAGGTAAAACACGTTTGACGTTTTTATGAATAAGGACCCCTCTCGGAAGGAGGGATATCTTATATAGAAATCCAAGGTACAGCGATAGTATTTGAAAACAATATTCCAGTGAACTTTCTGGCAACGAAGTAAGGGAGGGGAAGCACACTGCCCACTAGCCGTTATTTTTATACCGCGCGTGATGCAAAACTCGCTTGTTTATATTTACGTCCGTTGATGATTATGTCGATAGAAAGAGACGAAACATTAACACTTACATGTGCAAATAGAAATAAAATAATTGAATTTGTCCACCAATAAAGGTGAAGACCCCACAGCACTGTAGTAATACGTATTACTTGACTAAAACCTAATCAAGAAAAACAAGCAATAAACAAATCTTTAAGTTACTATTTCTAATATAATCTACAAGCATTCGTATACACCGAATCGACATAATATTTATTATTAAAAAAAAAAAAAATATTTTGTCTAATAAAATTTGAAATTAGTCAATTCGCGCGTTTTTTTTACACATATTTAAATACACTATCAGGACGTAGCGCGATGAAATATTTTTGCAGGTAAATAGTACCTACATACCTGCTACTTTATTGCACTTTAGTGAACTCGATTCTCAAACAAAACACTATAGAAAAGAAACGGTGAATAAACGCATTGAAATAATCTATACATATGTAAATTCTATATTTCCGCTTTATATCTTATATGATAAGAGAAATATTTCATGCCAAAATTTTTGGAAAATACTCTTTCAAATGTGACTTTTGAAAAAAGCCATATTAAAACGTAAACGTTATTAAAGTATTAGTGTTACATTATTTGAATAATTCATTGAGGCAATTAAAAATTGCAATTGGCAAACTAAATATTACTTTGTCATAACCAAACATTGTATTATGCCTAATACCCTAATATTATAAACAAGAAATAATGGCGTTTTAGTCAGAATTTCTTAAATTATATATCTTAGCTCATTTAGTTTATTATTTCCTAAGTTTATTTATCCAAACTTTATCCTATATTACTTTATTGTATCTCTACACCATTATTTTTATTATTTCTCATCTATATTCAAAGCAATAATAACTAACCAAGTGTCATACAAAATCGGTGCTTTTTATAAGACTTGTCTCTGTCAGAATAGGTAAGATAAAAAGGGACGGATGCATGGTGGCATCGGCGTCAAAACTTTAGAAGAAATTCGACATTATAAAGACCAGTAGCTCTTATAATTTTAATGAAGTATATATATTATATTATTTAAATTTGAATTCATAAAATTACTTTCAATTCTATAGTGCTCTCGCTGTTATGTTAACTTCAATACAAAATATATCTTACCTGAAACATTTAATGTACAAAGACATCTGTAATATTGTCGATTGTTTCGAAGTGTAATCTTTAAATGGTGAATTTATGAATATTGTTTGTAAAATACCATTGGTATAACGGCTAGTTTTCCATGTGTTGACGTGTTTTGCTATATTACATTTATATAACCAGTTGTAAATAGTTATACACTTTATAAATATTGTGATTTGTTTGTCCAAAATACGATACGATGACCGCGGAAATTATAAACCTATAATAAAAAAACATTGCAAGGTTGCCAATGAAATGTTTTGATTATTTTTTTTTTTGCATGGCAACATTGGTTATTAATTTTTTATATGTACATTTAACTTTGTCATTTTGGACCAACAAATTTAAGTAACATACTATGTTAACCTTGAATTGTAAATTTAATTAGTCATAGTTTTTAATGTGTTACTGACTTAGTTGTGTAATTCTTGTAAAAAAAAAGATGCATAAAAAGATATTTACGCGCCGCTACAATTAAAAAAAAAAAAAGATCCGCAAAATGGCGGCAGCGGAAAAAATATTTTTAAAAAAGTCAGTGCATATTTTTTCATGGCGGTTGCTATACGCACTAAAAAGTTTTGTAACGCAAGAAAAAAATGACTTGTGGTATTTCAGTTTGTTTTTGTTTGTAAAAAAAAGATGCTATTAAAAAAAAAGATTCAACCGCCAAAATAAAAAAAAAATGGTTCTATGGTTTCTAGAGGAGGTACGTCGGAGTTTCTTTTTCAGCTTAACCTGAATAAGGTTATTTATCGTGACTTTATCAAGCAGTTTCAAGATCAATCAAGAAGTATTTGCAAATGATTTCTCAAGATTTTATCAAACAAGTATCGGAAGACTGAAGATATTAAATAATCT